ATTTCACCCTTTTTCGGAGGTGAATTTAAAAAAAATCATCCACAATTCGTTTTTACATCTTTCAAAGTAACTCTTTGGACTAAAGTCATTGAAGATTGAAACGGTCGAAAGAGAAAACGTAGAAGCTGTATGGCGTCTCTCGGAGTAGTGAAAGTGAAATTAATTAATTCCTGGCCTGGTGGCCTTGCGGTACGGCCAACCTTGACCGCCAAACAGTGTTTTATGTTGGCCAGAAATGGCGTAACACGAGTTATTCGACGCATCTTCTTCTCCTGCTTGACGGTTCAAGCTAAACGCTGCAGGTAACGGTTCGAGGTTTACAGCAGTGGCGGGACAAGTCTAATAGAATAATAATAATTTTAAATTTAATCATTTATTTTAGTTTGATTAAAATCTACATTTTTGTACACACGTACATTGCTCGATCATATGGCCAAAATTATTGCATATAACGATATTTTTATTTTATTTTGGACCTAAGATGATTCTTTTTATATTTTTGGACATATTGGCTTACTACACAACTAACTAATATAAAATTAAAAATCTAAGTGCAACTATTTGTTATTATAATTTTATTTCATAATGAGTGAAAATCAACAAAAACAAATTTCATTTTAAACAGACAATATTGAAAACAATTTTAATTATTTCTCACCACTAATAGTCTGTATGCCTCCTCGAGCCTCAATGCAAGCTGTGAGACGACGTCTCAATTAAGTTGTCCAGAAGATGTTGAGGAATGGCTTCCCATGTTTGGCGCGCAGCAATTTTCAATTCATTTAAGCTACAGGGGATCATTCCTTTTGGCAATATGGCGTTTTAGCATGTCCCAAGCATGCTCGATCACATTCATATCTGGAGACATCGGTGGCCACCACAGTTTTCTTATACCCTCTTCCTCACAAAATTCTCGAACCGCTAAAGTGCGTTGGGGAGGAGCATTATCGTCCGTAAATAAATTCATCCCTCACTGCCTCTCGAAATGGACGCACAATAGGTTCTAAAACGTCTCTAAGATATGAGGCACCTGTCATTTTGCCATCAATAAAAACAAGAGCAGTTCGAGCTCCGTGCATTATACCTGCCCATACCAATGATTTCCCCTTGAAACGGGACACGGGGTTGAGCCGCATTCAAGCGTGCTCGTCTTCCAGATGCTCTCCAGACCAAAGTTCGTCGCGAGTCTGACACTAGGCCTATTCTTGTTTCATCACTAAACATGACGAAATTCCAATTAGGTCCATTTGCTCTCATCTCCTCAGCCCATTGTAGTCGCGTAATTTTGTGCTGTAAATGAAGCTTCGGAACACGTAGAGGCCCCTTAAATGTAATCCTTTGTCTAGTTTCCTCTGTCTGTGAGTTTTATTGCTATAGTCTTTCTTGAAACATTTACTCCTTCAAGACGAGCTTATTCATTTTTAATAGCAGTACTAGAAAGCAGAGGATAGTAGTCATTGGGCCACTTGAGCCAGACAGACAGCCAGATATCCGATATGGATAAATAGCAGTGTGATGTAAATCAGGTAAGAACAGTTAAAATACGCTAATAAACAAGAATAAACAGGTTAGAACCACTTTGAACCGTTTTTGAACTGCTTTGAACCGCTTTTAAAACAACAGACCTGTTCATTTTTTGCTCAAACCTGTTTATTTCTATTTTAAAGCGGTTCAAAGTGGTTCTAACCTGTTTATTCTTGTTTATTAGCGTATTTTAACTGTTCTTACCTGATTTACATCACACTCCTATTTATCCATATCGGATATCTGGCTGTCTGTCTGGCTCAAGTGGCCCAATGACTACTGAGGATTGCGTCGTGCAATTAGGGAAATTTGACGGTCTTGCACAGCAGTAGTAACTCTCTTTCTACCTCTTCCAGGCCGGTCTGTAACCTCGTTTGTCTCCCTGAATTTTTTTAATATTCGCGAAACATCGCTTTTGTTAACTCCTAGAATTTCAGCTATTTATACTTGCCGGTAGCTCTGTTGAGACATTGTTACTATTCTGACTCTAACTAAACTGTGAAATAATGTTTCTAGGCATTTTAAGGCCAAAACAATGGTCAAATTTCTTTTGAAACCCAAGAGACACAAATCGAAATGTGCTAGAATTTGTAATAATATTGGGTCTGAAAGATAAACATTGTTTACCATATCCATTTTAACAAAAAAAAATGTTTATTACAGATTATCAAAGCTATGTATAAAAAAGATTCTTTAAATTCCTTTCCGTAAATTTTTAAACGATATATGCAATAATTTTAGCCATGTGTGTGTTTTAATGCGTGATTTTTCTCTTGGTTGTTTCTTAAGCCACGTTGATACGGTACAAGTGTACATACTTGAATCAAGGACACTTGGATGCTGCCATATAACTGTTAAATATAGAGGAAAATAAGCAAATATGGAATACGGCTATCTCTCGGAAACAAATAAACGCAAGACAGTCATTTTTAGTCTTTTTTCATCATTATACTCACGTACAGGTTTTGCCATATCATTCCAAGGGGCTTTGTGGCCATGCGTGAGAGGGTTTTCTTTCAGCACCATGAGAAAAGATTTTTAGGTACTCAGAAAGTAAGCATTTCTTAATATGTGGTTGCAAATTATATTGTACAGGGTCGCTGATATGTATGGGAACGGTTGATTATTAGGTAAAATATAAGAGGTACCGTAAAACATTAAATACCTACAAAAATTATAGGGTTTTTAAATATCTATTAGCTGGTAATAAATTTAAGTATACAGGGTCGGACATAAAGTCGTGGCACATCAAGGTTTCATTTTTTTTAAATGGAACTCTCTGTATATTATTGCATGTTTCGCTTCATTCTTCAATTCTAAGCAAAAATCTAGATACACAAAATTTACCTCAAACCAACCGTTTCCGAGTTATCGACTTTTGAAAATATCACTTAAACAATTCGATTTAATTAATATCGATGTGTTCGGTTTCATTTAACGATGCCATTCTGAGGAAACTGTGATAATGATATTTAACATTAGTTTTCAAGTTAGCATTTATAGATGTATAAAATGAGATTATATTATGTCTAGAAATTACAACATTTTCGTCTAACATTTCAAAATCAAAACTTCATAATTCGGAAACTGTTGAATTTACGTATATTATGTGTATTATGATTAAGTACCTGAGTAAAAGTTTAGCTGAATATTGTCATATTTTTTACTCACTAAATCAAAGTCACTACGCCACTGGAAATTACTTAAATTCCTAATAAGATAATTAAATCTTGGAATGTTTGTGGAAATATTTAGAATTTTAAAATCTAATTACTAATTAAAAATTCATACATTGGATTTTGAGTACCTAGAGGATAAAAAACTTTTCATTTAAATAGTATTTTACCAGGCAGAGATCAATTTTTGGACTTAAAACCATATCTGCTAGAGTAACTGCCTAAAGTGCCTAACAGACAATAATATATGATTTTTCAAAAACAGTGACATTACATAAATCATAAACACTATTTTATAGGTTTGTTGACTAGGACAAAGAACAAGAGCATTGTTTTAATGTAAAAAATACGAAAAAATGTTAGTGTCTTCTTCAAAAGCGAATATCTCCAAAAAAAGCTATTGAAATGAATCAAAAATCATTCAACAACTATTAAGGACAGATACACCTAGATGATAGAGTGATTTTTAAATTCCTTGCTTTGTTAACGTACTCCACAGGGTGTTGCAGACTTTCACCAAAATATCAACATTTTGTTTCCCCTCGTATAATTGACACATGGCAACTTTCATTTTTAATTTAGAAAGAGATACTAAAAAGTCAAATATTTTAGCTACAAATTGCTTAAAAATCATCAAAATCGGCCAACTAGAACAAAATATATTAAACTTTAAAATACATCAAAATTTTTAGGTGCCCGTTTATTGTACCGGTGAGTGTATTTCTTCACCATCTTTCTACTGCAACTTGGTATAGGCATCTTCTCAGAGGAACTAGACAACCGACGATCTTTAAGGCTATCGGATGGCTGTAATGTTATACAAGCAGAGGTTTACGCCATAAAGGAAGCGGCTAGTTGTATACGAGAGAAAATTGCTGATAAACCAATAGGGGATATTGTGATGTACTCTGACAGCTTGGGCGCTTTAAGAAGCATCCCGATACAATCAGTGAGATCGAAAACTGTGATGGAATGCCGAGAAACACTGTCCTGGCTGCGTCAAGGACACCGCAATGTGGTGGGCAATCAAGAAGCGGACAGACTCGCTAAAAAGGGGGGCCAGGCCAGATGACCCACCACTTGTGACGATCAACACACTGAAGGTATAAGAACTACCATCAAGGCCAAGCAGCAAGAGACGTGGCAAAAACGTGAGGATTGCGCTACAGCTCGAAGACTATGGCCAGTTGTAGATAGCAAAAAGACACAACTACTAGAGCACAAAAAGGACCTAGTATCCATAATTGTAGGTGTCGTCATTGTAAATTGCCCGTGAGGGGTAAACCTCGTGAGATGGAAGATTTCCAACGACGACTACTGCAGAGAATGCGGAGAGGACGGAAACCATAGAGCTTTAAAAACGACGCTTTAAAACTTTAGGGCAAGGCTTTTTGGAGGGACTAGAGGAAGCAGCAGAAGCCAACATCAGCGACATCGGGAACTTTGCAAAGAGCTGGAAGTGCTTTAACGCAAAGAAAGAATGAGAGGAAGGTTTGGTACAACAATAACAAGGGTATCTCAATGGGCTCGAGGCCTCCGAGTGAGGGATCAAACATGATCCCAAACCCCAGCAACCTAAGCTAACCTATCCACTGCGAATGGTTGATTAATGGACCTAACTTCCCTCGAATGGTTGATTTTTCGCCCAACGTTTAATATAATAAAGTAACCAAACCATTATTTTTAACAACAAATCACCCCTTCGCATATATTTTAAAATACCCTGTATGTTTATTTGATGGAGATTAAGATCTGGAAAAAAATATCTAACTTCCTATTGTCAAAATCAGAGATAAAAGACTTATAATGTCAAAATGAAAGTGTCATTATCATATCCATATATTTCATTCGGCCCAAAAATTTAAGTTTGCGCATAAATGCTTGTTGAAACATGTATTTATAGAAGTCGATAATGTGTAATGAACTATAAAGCCAAACATCTGCGAGACATCTCTCTATCCCATCTAAAGTGTGGTAGACCGATTAGAATTCTGGTGTGGAAGAATGAAGATTTTTATGGCGACGGACAGGAAATTACTTTAAATCCATTTTATCTGAAAACCTGGAATGCTGTATTATGTAAAAGTTGTTCTGGTGAAAATTTGAAAACGAACAGTATTTAATATTGCCTCTACCGATGATAGTATGAAAATTTGGCGGAGCACGTCAATTTACATATCAATGGGGACAATTTTTGAGGCATGTGTTGTCGTGTTACTTTCAACCCCTTGACTCCCAGGGCACCTACTCCTAAAATGTTAAATAGCAACTTCTATTTCTTTTACCATTTTTGTGTTTCTTATAGAATTCTACATAAACTGCATTATTTCTTCGAGAATTTTATAAGGAACACAAAAATGGTAAAAGAAATAGGGGTTGTCATTTAAAATTTTAGTGGGTAGGTGCCCTGGGGGTCAAAGGGTTGAAAGTAACACGACAACAAATGCCTCAAAAATTGTCCCCCTTGATATGTAAATTGACGTATTTCGCCAAATTTTCACACTATCATCGGTAGAGGTAATATTAAATACTGTTCGTTTTCAAATTGCCACCCTGTATATTGATCAATAAGAAAAACAAACACCTTAACATTTTCATGTAATTTAAATTTGAGTATATTTTGTTCTAGTGGATCGATTTAGATGAATCGTCAAACAATATGTAGCAAAATTATTTGACTTTATAGCTTCCTTTTTAAATTACAAAATTAAGGCCCCATCTGTCTGTTTTACGAGGAAAAACAAAATGTTGTTATTTGGGCGAACACTTTTTTACTTTTAAAGCTAATATCTCCAATAAAAATAAAGCTATAGAGATAAATCAAAAAACAAATTATTGAGAAAAGATGCACTTGCTGATTTAGTGGTTTTTAACTTCCTTTCTTTGTTAAACAATTCCACAAACTTTTGCAAAAAGTTTCAACCTTTCGGCAAAATATTAACATTTTGCTTTTTCTCGTATAATAAACAGATGGGGACTTTTTGATGGGGATTTATAATTTAAGAAGAGACTAAAAAGTCAAATAATTGAGCTAAATATTATTTAAAAAAACATCTAAAACGGCCCTCTAGAATATAATGTACCATGTGTTTCTCAAAAGTGGCACACCTCTATAACTTTTTTACTTTTTTCAGATAAAAAACGAGATTTGATAATAGGACATAAATCAGGGTAGAGTAACGTTTTCAATTATTTTCGATCACTTCTTGTTTCACCGGAAATGACAACAATTTTTAATTTTTAAATGACACCATCGGTATTTTTTTACTTTATATGACAGAAAATGACATTCTGAATAGAATGACATATCATATGTCAAATTTTGACACTTTGAATTAAAAAAAATAGCATTTTAAATTTCACTCTTGTGTGCCATGGTGATAAATGTAACAACGATTTGACTAGAAATACCAAGTATGTGGTACCAAGCTTTTCTTAAAAAAATGCTTTTTCTAAATATGCTAATGAACCACCCTCGTTCCATTTGAGAAAAACGTTACGATTAAAAATACGATTTGGGCATCTTTTAACCGACCATGCTGGAAGAGGCCCTAAAAACATTAGACGATCAAACATATTTTTCCAAAGGTCCCGATTAAAAATTAATAGTTTTAACACAGCCAAGGCAATCTAGATTGAAATTTAAAATATTATTTTTTAACCAAAAATGTCAAAAGTTGACATGTGATATGTCATTCTATCCAGAATGTCATTTTCTATCAAATAAGTAAAAAATACTAAGGGTGTCATTAAAAAATCAAAACTTGTAGTCATTTTCGGTGAAACAGGAAGCGACTGACAGTATTTGAATACGTTAATCAATCCAAATTTATGTCATACACTAACATACGAAATTTCATTTTATTATATGAAAAAATAAAAAAAAGTTATATAGGGATGAAAATATTAAGGTGTATCTCCGTTTTTCACATTTTTATGGCCGTTGGGAATAAGCAAAAATCTTTATATTTATTATTAAATAAATACTTTTGTTATTAACTTATACTCAATGACGAAATTATTTTAGCAGTTGTAATCACAGCATTGTAATAAAATTTATTCTTGTGATACAGGTTATCTGACTGCTACCATTGAAGGCAATTTAGAGGCAATTAGAAAACTTGTTCATTTGAAAACTAGAAAAGTAATACGTTGCTTGGAACATTTAGAACCGATGGAAAAGTATATTGCTGTAGGTACTAAGCGGTTTAAAACCAGAAAAAAGGCGTAAGTATAATATACAGGGTATCAAAAAAATAGTGTACCAAACTTCATCAGTGGGCGATTCAACGGATAAAAATAAATCAAAAAGTTCCTATAAATACACCAGGGTACGAGGGAATTTTTTCCTAAAAATTCAAAGATTTCAAAAATACCAAATTAATTTTATTTTTTTCCAGTGTTTTCTCATATACATATAACTAAATATACTCAGCCTAATCTCTAACAAGTGAAGCCCAAATCGTGAAATAGAAATATTGAATTCTGCATGAGTCTATTTCACGCGGATATTCATCTAACTGCGCATGCCTTACCTGAAGAAATTTTCATTGGTCGGTGTTTTTAAAGGGAAGTGGTTGACTGTCATTTCACCTAACCTTCAATTTCATTTATATTTTTATTATTTATAACACATTAACATAGGAGTTGGAAAAATATCAAAAAATAGTTGGAAACGATAAACTAAACAAAATCACTCTGTTACGCGCACAAATAAAAAGTAATCCAAACAGAACTAAAACAACAATCAATCGGAGTATGGCACAATCGCAGTTCAATCGATATCCGGGTGAAATATACTTATGCAGCATTAATATGGAGCTGAGTTATGTTGTCTTTTTCTTACGGCACGGAAACAGCACACGGGGTTAAATAGAGAACATTGAGTACCTATATGTAGTTATATGTATATAGGTTTTGCACGTAAATGAGAGATAATGAGACTTTTATAAAAATTAAAATATTAAAATGAAAAACAATAAAAATTAATAAAATCATTCTGATGTATAAGCTATATTATTGTAAAGTTTCATTAATATCAATTTAGTAGTTTTTGCGTAAAAGAGTAACAAGCATACATCTATACACAGGGGTGGATGGGCCATATGGGAAAACGGGAAATTTTCCGGTGGGCCTGTAGGAAGATGGGCCGGTGGGCCGGCCCCTATAAGAGCTCAAAAAAAGATTGATTTAGCAAAAACTAAATAGTAAATCTTCTAACTAAAGTTACGTAAGATTCTTAGTGACTGCCTAACTAACTAATCGATTAGATCAATATAATCGTCAGTTGCTTTTAAACATACACACCAATTTGTAAAATAACTCTTGTTAGATGTCTTTCTGTGAGACACGTATAATTTTAATAAACATCTGTTTGTTGTTCCGTTTGAAATGTTTTATTATACAAGGTGAGTCTATAAGTGCACTTTATTTGTGCTGCTTTGTGCAAATATTTTCAGGGCTGGCAGATATGAATAAAAGAAACATAATATATTCTGACAAGACAATTTCAAAATTTTGGAAAATCGGAGGCAAAAGAGATTTTTTCGCCCGAGCGTACAAAATAACCGAGTTATTTTATTTTGAAAATTTAAACAAAAAATGCTTTTTTGCTTAAATTTTGAGAACCTCTGGATGTTTTCTGGATTTTCTTTCATGTAAATTTAACCTACTACTTATGTTGCCATATTATCAAGAAATGTTTTTTAACTTAAAAATAAAAAAAATTCCAAAATTTTTTTCATAAAAATTCCAAATTTTTGCAAAAAAAACTCAGAGGTTGTTTCTGAGGCCGAAATATACTACCAGTTAAAATACTTGCACTTATTTCTGGGACACCCTGTATATTAGTAAATAAAATATGTTTCTTCGTTATGGTCATTTTGTTTTTGTGGATTCGGGCCGGTTGCCTGTTATTCCCGGGCCGGTTTCCACTTCCCCATCCCCACTGTCTATACATACATTCATCCAAACAAACTTTTGCGTTTATATTAGCGCAGATATTAGTAAGGATTGCCAAACAATTAAAATATACACAAATTATAAAAATTATTATTTAAGTGCCAAACAATTATACACAAATTATACAGTGAAAGTCGGAAATTCAGTGATTGTTAACGTTCACTAGCAATTACGCACTGGACCAGTGAATGTGGTATCTGTAGACTTTTCCTAGTAATTTTTAACATTCACTAGTAAAGGTAACAGTTACTAAAGGTTGCCAGTAAAAGTTATTCCATTGTACAGGGCGAGCGTGGTGAGAAAGAATGTTGGTGGAAGTTAGAAAAAATAAAATTTTTAAGAGTATTGGATCAACTCAATATTCAAGCTAATCCACATATCTTAAAATTACAATTTACTTCTTTAGTTAATTTATTAAAAATTATAAAAAATAACGACATAACCTTCTAAACATATTAAAAGGGAAAACATAGTAAATATTTTGAAGTGTACAAAACAATTTAAAAAAACATTCATAAACATAAGATTGCTTATTAGTACAAAGTTTTTTTAATAAAGGTCTTCATCGTGGATAAAGTAAAGTATGCCCGAAATTTCTTCAACGGGAGTTATTCGTTTTTTGAAACCCGCTACTTCAAGCATATCAAAACGTTTCATAGTCACTAGGTTAACTAATTTATTTTTCTCTTGCTTGCTTAACTTTTCCTATGACTTCATTATATCGCAAAAAATGAAAAACAAGCGCTATTACATTTTTGCGAGTGCCTAGTTTACCTTAAATTTTCACAGAAAATTTCTTCCATAGGGAAAATACCGCACTGTCCTTTTTACAACGATAACAAAACAATTATACACAACCACAAAAAACAAAGCGAATTTACGCCAGATGTTTGTCAACGTTGCCAACGTTTAGCTCAATTTAATGTTATCCTGATATTGCCTATTATTCAACTTATCCTTATTTATCTTTATATTTTACAACATGTGGCAACCGCGCTAACTGAATCTTTCAAACTCAGTGCTATCGTCCAGGGAACGCTAACAGCTAGCATTCACTAGTAAAAGTTGGTTTCAAAAATAGCTGTTGAACTTTTACTGGCGTAGTCTTAGCAAATCAGTGAATGTAAGCTTTTACTAGTAATAAAATTGTTAACAATCACTGATTTCCAACTTTTACTGTAACATATACAATCATCTAACAAAATTAGTTATACGTTTGTCAAACGTTAAGAATAAAATTAATCTTGTTTATTATACGAACCACTCTCTACTAAGAAACGACCTCCTCTAGTAAGGTTCGGGAGACCTCTAGACCCAATAAGCGACAGACGTTGCCGTTTCGTCTACCCGGCCTGGGTCAACCAGGCGGGCTAGACAATCCTCTGAGAGTAGGTCTTAGCGGAGCAGAAGCACGGAGATACCTCCGACTGCTCCACGAAGGACTTGCTCCAGACGAAGCAAAAGCGAAAACACTCCTCCGAAAAGGAGAGAGTAATGAAACCAAGAAACAACCTGACTCACCTCCATTAAAGGACAAGAGAGGGAGCGAGAACCTCTCTCCTCTCCTCCGGCAGGGAGAGAAAAAAGCCAGGATGGAAAGCCGTCCAACACCGGGAGGCAAGCAGGGACTAGCTTTGCCGCTATCATCAGCTTTGCCGCTATTGCTGGACAAGTGAAAATAGCGGTGCTGCCAAAGGATTTCCCAGAGGTTGCTCTGACCACCGACCAGCAAACGTCTCTAGAAGAGGCTATAGTGGACGAAGTACTGACGATAGGATCGCGACACAACGATCTACATAATGTGGGTCAGTTGCGTTTTGCGGGGATAATTTTTCGGGTGGGCATGATCCTCATAGATTGTGTATCTCAAGAATCGGCGAATTGGTTGGTGAAAATCGCACCTAAGCTTAAAAATTGGCAGGGGCCGGAACTGGTTGCAGTGAAGAGAGAAAACAACCCTAAAAGGGCGACCATCACGGTCTTCTTTTTACCGAGGAGCAAGGGGAAAGACACCACCTACCTGCTGAGCCTTTTGCAGGGTCAGAACTTCAATGTAAGGACATCGAGTTGGCGAGTCATCAACTCGAGGGAGGAGGGTCATGGTCAGGTTCTCACAATAGGAATTAACCTCAAATCCAAAGAGGCAATAGAGAAAGAGGGGCATATCTTCTAATACAGACACGGGACAACACCGGTATCAGGTCTAAGAAGAGACCAAGTTAAAGAGGTGGAGAAAATGGAGACCGATCCTGCAGCCTCCACCTCACGGGTACCTCAGCCGGAGGCAAGCTCCTCGACTGTGAAGGGCACGGAGGGCCAAACTCCAACCGTGGAAGGGTGTGTACCCTCGGAGAAAGAACATCTGTTGCCAGAGGAGGATGGGAAATACCCTGCCCCTCTACAACAGAGGTTATTATATTTGACAGTTCTGACAATATGTAATGGTTTTGTCTGTTTATTAATTAATGGCGGTAATCGGTGTGTTACGTCGACGTTCTTGTACAAACCACAAATGCAGGGCCTCTTCCATCTGCTTGTGTTTCCCACTTCTTGTCGTTTGCCTCGATCCTGTCCCAGAATCCGCGATCTTAACAAAAGTTTCTACTTTTTCACGGTTCTTGATTATGGAATAAATGGCGGGCCGAGGAACTTTATACGATTTGGCTATGTCTGTTACTTTTAAGCCGCTGTCTACTATTTACGTAATATTTCCATTTTAATTTTAAGGGTTAACGTTTGATGTTTCCGTTTTGTTGAAGACATAATAAGGCTATAAACAAGCCAAAATTCAAGAAATCACGGAGCAAACGATTTAAATACGTTATATGTACGCAGACGCTAAAAGCCATGTGTTAATTTTACATAAAAATAATCCCAGTAGTCGCAGTAGTATTTCCAATACTAAAAAATTAAAAATTGATCAAATTTATTCTAATAGGTATAGAACACAGGCTGAAAAAAACCATTGGAAAATTAAGAAACAACGCCAGCTATCTGATGATTCTTTAGAGACCAACCTATTTCTTAAAGTTACGAAGAGAAATCGAAGAACTGTCATTTATATGATGGTGTCAGGTCGCACTTGCCAACTTCCTGTGAAAGTTGTGTTGACGGTAATGGACTACTTGAATTGGAACGTGGTTGTGAAGTATTTAGAAAAAATGTTGGATGTGGTCGAAGGGATTAAACAGTAAAGTAAAATTTTAATAATTTGTTAATAATTACTAAGTATATTCAGGGCCGGCGGAAGGGCCGGGCGACCCGGGCGGTAGATGCTAGGGGCGCCACGACAGCAACTAAAATACTTAAAAACAGTAATCTAAACAAATAGTAACGAATAACCAGATCAATAATTAATCGGTGCTATCAATTTTCACATTAAAATATCAGGAGTTACTACACCACATAGGGAAACTATCTGACTATACATTATAAACGCTACTATATCCTTGACCTATCCTATTATAGTTTACTGAAATTATGCTCAAAAATCCTTCGCACGAAAGTTTTGGTATAGTTTTGATTTTTTCTATTTTATATGTTTTTTGGGTGCTCTATCCGAAACTGGGATTTACCAATACATTTTCGTGGAAGAATCATAAACAAAACAAACTAAAAAATATAGCCAGCAAAAAAAGAGCCTGCAAAATTGACAGTTTTAGACTGACTGCTCAAAATCGCACTATTTCTACTACACACACCCTGTATTTGTTAATGGCTAAAATTATATGAGGCAAATATTCATTCGCAAGAAGCTGAAGAGGATTCCGATATCCTTATTATAAAAAAAGCTTATAAGTTTGCCTCATTAATTAAAATAATTTATTAACAGTAAAGAGAAAAAATATCAATCTTTCGGTGGTTTTGATTGTTCCGGATTGAATATGTACTAATACACGGTAAATGGTAGTAGAATCGTAGAATTTTCTCATTGGAGCAAGACAAAGAAATGCATCTCAAACACTGGCTGAACCTCATTTTGAAGCCGACAAAATTGTATCTGATCATATGCTGATTCTGCACGAAATAATTGATTGTGAAAAAGAAAAGAAAATTTTCTTAAATTCTTATAGAAAAATAATAAAAACTGCTTGCAACAAAATTCTAATGTTTTCAAAGATCATTTGTACCAGAACGAGACTGCCGAAGTTGGAATTCTATATCTTATCACTGTATATACCGGGTGCTTCTCAAAAGTGGCGGCACACCCCTATAACTTGTTTATTTTTTTAGATGAAAAAAATCAAAAAATGAGATTTGGTATGTGAGTGTACGACATAAATTAGTATTAATTGACGTATTCAATTGTTTTTGGTCACTTTCTGTTTCACCGGAAATTACTACAACTTTTGATTTTTAAATGGCACCCTCGGTATATTTCTACTTTATGGCATATGTCAATTTTTGACATTTACGCATATGGTTTGTTTGAAATTGTAACATGCGATTTGTAACGACAATTTGACTCGAAATACAAAGTGTGTGGTATCGAATTATTCTTAAAAAAATGCTTTTTCCAAATATGCTGAAGAGCCACCCTTGTTTCATTTGAAAGAATTGAGATACGATTAAAAATACGATTAGGACATCTTTTAACGGGCCAGGACAAGACACGAAAAACATTAGACGATCAAATGTATTTTTCCAAGGCTCCTTATTTAAAAATTGGTGTTTTTAACAGAGTCATTGCACTCTAGTTTGAAATTTAAAATAGATATATTTTTTTTTGACGAAAATGTCAAAAGTTGACAAATGATATGTGGTATGTCATTCTACTCTGAGTGTCATTTTCTATTGAATAAAGTAGAAATATACCGAGGTGCCAGTTAAAAATAAGTTTTAGTTATTTCCGGTGAAACAGGAAGTGACTAAAAACAATTGAATACGTCAATCAATTCTAATTTATCTCATACACTAACATACCAAATCTCGTTTTTTTTTATCTAAAAAAATTAAAAAGTTATAGGGGTGAGTGAGTCACTTTCAAGACGCACCCGTTATAGAAAAAACAACCGCAACTAAAATTGAATGAAGAGAAGAATTTTGAAGTGTGTTTGAAAATTTGGGGGGGGGGGGCGCCAGACAGGGTACTCGCCCGGTCTCAATATTTCCCTTCCGCCGTCCCTGAGTATATTTCATATCAATTAATCTTTATTGCCAACCAAGATAAATGTTTTCATCTGAGAATAATAAATATAACATGTGTATGCATTTAATGGAATCTATTTATGCTGTAAATAATTTTAGTTTAAAAGTAATCTAAATACAATTATTTACTGTCCAGTCGTGCCGATGTTTTTGGTTCAGTGTGACAATAAGGGCCTTGTTGAGTGTACTAGTATTTTTCGACCGTGACTGGGCGAATATCTTAGCTCGCAGAAGGCAACTAAAAACAATAGATATAATATAAAGATATTTCCACCAAACATCCAACTTTAGCTTCGATATCCGAAACCAGGACCTTAGTACCTGCGGGCGGCGACCTGCTAACTAACCAAAATCTCTTCAGTTTTGAATGATATAAATGTGGCATGTTTTGAATGTATGAAACTAAAAACCTTGGTATGAGGACGGTTTCTATATTATTATTATTTCTCTTTTAATACATTTCAGGACAGCATAGTTAGATTCTCTGGAATAGTGATCGGGGTTTTCTCTGTCGTGCTCTGTTACCCGTGAATTCCAGGCAGAGTACGGCACTCCATTCATTTCATTTAATAAAATAAGTAGGGCTATTTACAAATTTAACGTATTATTTACATAACCTATTCTTCTCAAATTTCTTAAAATATTGCTTCTGTGGAGGCGCATCCGAGGTAATCACAAAAAAAATATTTTTAACACAACGTAGGTTCCTTTATTTCATTTAAATTGTTTGTTATATAGTTGGTCAAAATATTATCTCTTCAACTTTGTTGACGAACTTGGGTTGTTACACTACATGTTGTGATTCTTTAAGCTTGAAAATATTTACTAGCAGACCTTGCAGTCGAACATTGTTCTTTTTAAAACCTCCTTTAGTGTGAAGTGTACAAGATAGCTTAATAGCCGTAAAAAACTCATCGCAACTTTATTAGAATATTTTGAACGGGAAAGCGTTAGTAATGGCCCTTTATGTCCCTTAAGTGCTGTTAAGAAAGTGAGTTTTGTTGATGTAAATAATAACAAAAATTATATTTATAATTAAGTTATTTTTGTTTCCTAATATGTTTTGATTAAAGGAAAATATATAAAAGTGTGCAACGCTGTGCCGAGCAAGCTTAACCACGCGACTAAAAGTTTATTTGGTATGAACTGTATGTAATTCTTAAAAAACCCTATCAATCTTTTTGGATCCTCTTGTTCGAGCAAGCTGTCTGGTCGACTTTAACTAGATTTTACGTATTTTTAGTTGTTGGCTTGTGTTATTTATCATTCTTTTTTACAGAAAATCTTGGGAGGCTGGTCTTTTTAACCTATTAAATATGTGATTTGATTGTGTTTTTATTAGTTCTTTGCTGATAAGTAATTAGGATGCAATTTTATTCTTTTGTAATACCGTTTATTCTTTTGTAATACTTCGGACAGCACGGGTAAATTCGGAGAACGGGTCCTTGAAAGAGAAAAATATTGAGGAGGGTAGCGAAATCATCAAAGTGTCCGCGTGTGGACTGGAACGTGTTTAAAACAGTTGTCCTCCGACGTTTCTTAAGTACCAAGTGTTTGGCGGGCCCGGCGTATTTTTTACGTCAATTTTTGTAAGTATGCAATTTTTGTTGTTTTTTTAAAGTGGAAAAAGTAACTGGCGTATAACTAAACCTATTATTCATAACGCGTCGTACTTTTTCCAGTATTCAGTAGGTATATTATCTGAAAATGTTTTATGTAATTTGAAGATTTTTAATAGTTTTGATTTTTTTTCCAGATGGTCGTAAGCAAAAAAATCATATTTTGAAGGATAACTTCGGACATGGTTCGAAGTTACAAAAAAATTATTCACCAGAGAGGTTACAGCAAGCAGTAGCAGATGTCAAAGCCAAGCGAAAAACCTTAAGAGAGGCGGCCGAGTATTATATAGGATTCCCAAATCCACAATTGGGAATAATATTAAGGGGATTCATGATAAGAATCCAGGACGGCAACCAGTGCTGAGTATCGAGGAAGAGGCAAAGTTTTTGACTGATATTTTTTAGAAATAATCAATCTTTTTTAATAAAAATCTCTTAAATAATGTTTGAAGTTATTAATTTTTTGAGTTTTTATTAAAAAATGAACTTGATTTTTTTTTAAAACTTATATTTTTGTCCGAAGTTTCCTTTTAACTGGTATAACATCAAATTTACACATTTTTAAAGGCATGTCCGAAGTTACCCCACCTATGGGGATAACTTCGGACACTTTTCAAATAAAAAATATATACGTTAGAAAAAGAAAGTTTAACATTATTTAGTTAGACATAGGGGAAGGATGTAGTAACCCACACAAAAAATATTGGTTGAATTTGAACACACTTAGGTCAAGAAACTTACAAAAAAACTCAAAAACTGTCCGAAGTAGCCTCGTTTTACGGTACGTCAGCAATGCATTCTTTACTTCTTCCTTAGCATTCTTGATTTTTAGATCATTGTGAAGTTGATTATATTATTTGCCATATAAAATGTGACTCCAGTTATCATGCAAAGAGTTTTGGATTGGAATCGTTGTCAAATTTTTGCTTGAGGTGGATACTGTGGCCCACAATTGCAAGCCGTAGGTTCTGACGGGTTTCAGTATGCATTTATACAACAAGAGTATTTTCTAATGACAGTTGTGATGTTGTGATTTGCATCCAGTAAGCCAGTAAAGTTTTCTTAACTGTTGATCAAGTGCTTCTTCTGTTCCATATATATGCGTTTTCTAAGTCAGTCGTCTGTCCTGTATAATGCTACCTCTGGAAAGGTTTTTCGCCTCAGGGTGAAAGTGGCATGGACTGATTTGATTTCATTGGCCATTTTCCTATAATCTATTAGCAATTTTGATATTTCAGTTAAGTTTATTTGCAACTATGGTGATGGATCAAAGGCGGTTTTATCAAGTGCAAGTACTGCAGTGTCATCGGCAAACGGCAAATTTTCCTGTTATAGTGTGTCTTATGTGTTTCGTAGATCGGAAGTAAATCTAGTAAATCATTAGTAAATATAGCAATAGCAAACATTAGACCAGTGAACCCATAGTGTGTATCCCCTGAACCCATAGTGCTGCAGTTTATTAATTAGGATCTTATGATTTACACTATCGAACGCCTTTCCCGAAAAATCCCAGAAAATTGTTGCTGTAGAATGATGGTTGTTTAGGCTGGAGTAAACTTTATTAAGGAGGGAAAACATAGCGTCATTTGTGGACTTGTTGCTTAGAAATCCAAATTGATATTCAGTAAGTATTTTGTACTTAAAAATAGAAAAGATACCAGCCTTCTTTTAACCAACCTTTCTATGATCTTAGATAGCGTTGGAAGGAGTGCAATTGGGCGATAGTTAGAAGCTTCATCTTTGTCTCCTCCTTTATGCAGAGGAATGATTATTGCCGTCTTAAGACATTTTGGAAAAACACCATTTTGGAACGACATGTTTATTAAAGTTGTTAGGTGACTCAGAGTGCTTCCTGGCAGATTCGAAAACATTTTTAAAGTTAGCCGGTCGCGCGTCGGATTTATTTATTTTTGATGGTATTAATTGTACTGCGAAGCTCTTCTAAAACTACGGACGAAAAAAAGAAACTGTGTAAGTTTCCAATATCATTAGAGAGATAAGAAAGTGGATCATGAAGGGGACATATGGTATTAGTTAAGTTTTTCGCTACATTTACAAAGTAATCGTTAAGGTTCTCAGGTGAGGTAGAGATATTGCTAGACGAAAAAGCTTTGTTTCTCAAATCTCACAATAGACCAAGTTTCTTTAGCAACATCACCAGAATTGACTATTCTCCTATTATAATAAAGGTCCTTACCGGCTCTTATAGTCTTATGATAAATTTTTCTGTATAGTTTTACGTAATTGTGGAAGAAGACATTGTCTGAGAATTTTTTTAAGTGAGATAATGAGCGCATGTTTTTAGAAGATATGCGTAGACCTTTAGTGGTCCAAGGTTTATTATGCTTATCTTTGATAGGCCTAAGAGGAAACGATTTGAACGCTAGACTGGTTAATGTTTTTACGAAAATAGAAAATTCGGTGTCAACATCATAAGAACTAGTATCCCAGTTGGTTGTTTTACATAAGTGGCTGAACTTTTGAGCATTCTTTTCTGAAAAAATACGGCATAATTTACGAGGGGCATTTTTGATTTTGGACTTTATCGAAAATTTAGTTAGAATTGCTTCATGATCAAAGAGATTCGAGCTAAAGATGTTGCAGGCGATGGAATTAGGATCAAAAGATGACACAACATAGTCTATAGTACTAGAACTGGTATTGGATATTCTGATAGGTGAGCCTACATGCATGGCTATTCTAAAAGAATCAAAAATGGACTGAAGAAACTCCTGAGCAGCACATACACTAAGAAAGTCAATATTAAGATCATCACACAAAATTAATTTGTTTATTAAGGGCAGGGACTCAAGCAAGCTTAGTAGATTATGACAGAATAATTGCACGTCAGAGTCAGGTGTTCTATAAATACAAATAATGTAAAGGTCATAAGCATTATGGTGGACAATGAAAAATTCGAATACTTTTTCAGATAACAAATCATTGTACCTAGTTACCTCCGAAAAGTCGTTGTTTAAAGACATTATCATAGTACCTCCATGAGAAAAATTTGTTCTATTAAATCTGGCCACTGTGGTATAATTTTATAATAATATTTAATAACAAACACAGGCTTATCAACAGACGCATCAAAATTTTGTAGTAGTAGTAAAATTTTGTAGTAGTAGAATGTAGAATATTTGGGAAGGAGTTTAATCACCCCGAACTTACAGATTTGTTGTGTGACCCCCTTTATAAAGTTAGTTCTTTGACAAAAGCCAGTATCTTAGACGGCTTCTCAAAGGCTAGTTCTCTATCTCCGATTTATCAGTCGTACCAAACTATACGACACGAATGGTGGTCGCCTCGGCGCACACAGTGATGACGCGTTCTGGTATTTTCCTATTTTTCCTACAGAATCCACATTCGCCGTTGGTTCTTAGCTTCAATCTACTAAGATGTTCGTTGAAGAGTGTGCCCTGGTAAAAAAAACCGTGACAATTCGACGATTGTTCTTAAATCAATTTTTGATTTTTCTCGGTCGTAAGTTGAGAAATTTCTTCGAGTGCCTTAGACCGTTGGAAGATTCCCATTCCAGGTTACCAATGGAGTCTTCCAGGTTCTTAAGTTCTACTTTAAGTAGGTTTCCACTTGGGAAGCAGAACGATTCTGGTCCAGTTAGAGTATTCGCTCCTTTTCTAGCTAGATCGTTTGCTTTTTCATTGACTTCTATCCTTTGGTGAGCTAGCACCGAGCAGGAGGACTTTATTTTCATTGCCTAATTTGTTCAGATTGTCTAGGCATTCTTTGATCAATTTTGAATTGATGATTACTGAGTTGATCACTTTTAGTGCTGCTTGAATATCGGATAAGCTGGATATTTCCTGTTTCTCGTAGTTCCTATCTAAGATAAGTTGGACGCATTTTTCGATAGCATACATTTCTGCCTGAAGGATGCTGGGGTATGTCCATTGGTTGGGAGTGTTTATGGCCGAAATAATGGCGTCTGAAATAAATTATGTATTATTCAGTAATAAAAAAATAATTATGTTTAATGGTAATAACATTTAATCTCTCCAAAAAATCCTCTATGGGTATTTCGCCACTGCAAGAAAATCTACAAAATAAAATAGTTATTTTTTGTAAACACTTCTGCGTTAATCCCAAACGGAAACTACTTATCAGAAGTTAGGTTTACAGTTATACAAATTTGCCTAACAAACAAAAAAATGCTTAACGTTTCGGAAAGTTTATCTCTTTCCGTCGTCGGAAGCAAAAAAATACAAAGAATAAAGAAAAAAACTATTTAAAATATTTAAATTCAACTATTCGAGAACTCTTTAGTTTTTTTAAACAGATACCTACGTCTACAAAAACCGTTGACGTTTCTAAATTTTAATTTTAATTTTAAATTTTTAATTTTTCATTTAATTTTTTTATTTTAACATTTAATGTTTGGAAAACCATATATAAATGTTGCACCCACTTAGTGTAATTGTCCGTTTCATGAAATGGATATCCACTTCGCGAACTGGTTAGGTTAGGTTCGCGAACTAGTTGGTTTCAGTTCGCGAAGTGGATATCCATTCTAAAAACGGACAATTAGTCTAAGTGGGTGCGACATAAATACAAACAGTTATGACTATACCAAGTGCATGCTTTTACACTTAAATTTAAGATTTCTCCAAAAAATGGCGTTAGTTGATTTGGGGACATCATGTCACGGATGTCCAGTAGGGTGTCCGTTATTTCCCAAGTTGATTTTTTTTGCTGCCTCCCCCTGAAATTTTAGTTTTTGCTCTAAAAAAATTATCCAACGTAAACAAGCTTTGAATTTCCGTGCCGGAATCATGATACTTTTCCTATTTAAATAACATGGGGTTTTCTAACCTTTTGCATTTAATTTTTTAGGCTGTACTTAAACTGCCGTTAAACGGTAGCTTACTAAAATGCCGTTAATAGGTATGACGTCGTTGATGTGCTGCACTTGACGGCTTTATGAAATATAGGAATTTTATAAGGACTAACCAACGCTATCGACCCCACCAAATAACCAACTTAACCAAAGCAACTAACCTCGAGACTGATAAAAAAATATAAAAAACAAATATAAATTAGTAAAAACCAACCAACCCCACCAAATAACCAACTAACCAATGAATTAACACCCCCCAAATAACCACGCTAACCAACCCGCCAAATAACTAAACCAATCCAACCAAAAAGAGTGAAACCAATGCAATAAGATCACGCTATAAGCAAAAAAAATATAAAAAAGTTTTGGTCGGCGTGAGATTTGAACCACGGACCATTCGCTCACGAAGCGATAGCCTCAGCCACGGAGCCACAGGTGCTCTTGCAAAATGCTTATAGATAGAGGCATTACTTTCCGCCGACATGAACGACGTCACAATATCTATTAACGGCATTTTAGTAGGCTAGGTACCGTTTAACGGCTGTTTAAGTACATCGATTTTTTTATCTCCAAAACAAATGAATCTACAGCTTCGACAAAGACATATTCTAATAAAAAGAATTTGTGCTCTATCAAAAAGGTCTCTTTGGTTTTTTCCATAAAAACTTTCCTTTAAAAGTTATTCGCGGTCAAAGTTATGCACATAGTTTATAATCTAGATTTTCCACGTCTGCATTCCTTCATCATTCATTGCAAATTTTAATTGCGCCTTTTGATTTTGACTAAAAGGATCTAGAGTCATACTTTTTTCATTAAAACAATATTTCTTTACCTAACCGGCACGGTTTAAATTAAAAATTAAAAGCTTGTTTATGTTGGATAATTTTTTTTAGAGCAAAAACTAAAATTTCAGAGGACGGCAGCAAAAAAAATCAACTTGAGTAATAATGGACACCCGATGATTGTCCAGTGGATATCAATTATTACAAATAAGCTACATATAAGCGCGCGTGACTGGAGCTGTCAATTGCGAAAGACGAAGTTCCAGACCTACTTTATATAAAAATTAACCCTCTGCTTAAACTTTCTTCACGTGATTTTTTCCGATATTTTAATAGTTATTTTGCTATTCGGGGCCGAGTTGAATCCAACAAATCATGCATCTTTCTTTTACTTATTTAGATTATTAATAAATCTCCTGTTTATTTTTTTGTAGCATAACCGATATAAATGGAAACAAAATTGAAGACCCCCATCAATTAAAACATGGAGGCTACTACATAGCAGTTCCATTTGGAGACCGATTCGTGAGAAGGGACTATACGCCGATTTTTGATGATTATACGGGAAAACTGTTAGTTTCCGAATTGCGTATTTACGTTTTCGTGTTCATTTCAACACCGCGCGGTCTTGAAATCAGCACGGAATTGTTGCTCAATATTGCTTTACAAACCGGTGTTGATTTCAACATCGCGTCGGTAGTGAAATCAACACGGAAACGTATCTCAAGCTTGGTTGACAAACCCTTGTTGATTTCAACATACGATCTTCTAATTAAGCATGAAATTCTTAAGTTTGTTTTTCAAAAATCACCAATGATTTTGAGGTTTTGAGTTTGAAGAAATTTAATCAGTTAGTTATACTTCTGAAGTTCAATGTTGGTTGTTCAATTTGTTGCCTGATTACACAAGTTATGATGAGAAATGTGTTGTTACATTATAAACGTCAGAGACAAAAACAAATTGGATAATGAAGAGACGTTTTTCTAAACCACTGCGATACGAATTTCAAAAAGTTTACGTTTTCCAGCGATGAGAGCTTCCAGCAATGAGAAACTTCAATTACGAAGCAAACATAAGCATAACATTTTTAAAAGTGGCGGAACATACTTTAAAACATCATCTTTATTGAAGAGAGGTTTAAATGTCGCTCCTACATATTAATTTTATTCATTCACACAGAGTCAATGTAGCTCAATCTCTAGGACTTTCGCGTTGCTATGAAGATATAAAAGAACAATATATATCCTACTTTGACGCTGGAATGACAGCTGCAGCAGCTAAATCATTTCATGAGTTTGGCATTATGGAAGATTGCGAGGAAGATGTGTATGTGACACTAGCTAATGCCCAAAAAAATTTACTTGATCGTCAAGTAACCCATTTACATATGACTAGTGGCGACTCCAAAACTACGGCAGCAGTGACAGTGACACATTATTGGATATTTAGAACAAAAAAAATAGACCTTCTGGAGTGCGGTGTCAATTTATGTATAGTGAAAAATCTCATAGTTTTAGTTATTATTACCCCAAGCATGCAACAAATTTACGAGGCGGGATTAGCTGATGAAATGTTATTTATCGATACAAGTAGATCGTGCGATCAAACTAATATTTGTGTGACATTTATATTTGTTGGTTTGGTTTGGTAAATGTAAATAAAATCCCTTTCTTTTAATATAGATGTGTAACCTATTTTGTACGAAAATTTGGTTTGGAGATTGAGGCTCTTGAAATCAACACGGGTTTGTCAACCAACATTGGGATACGTTTTCGTGTTGATTTCACTACCTCGCGATGTTGAAATCAACACGGGTTTGTAAAGCCATATTGAACAACAATTCCGTGCTGATTCCATGACCGCGCGGTGTTGAAATGAAACGGAAACGTAAATACGCTTCCGAATTTGATGAATCAATAATCAGCCATACGTTTTTAGGACACAATACGATGAAATCATTCAAGACGACGCAATGTTGGGTAAAAAGGGATCTCTTACAACAAGGAGCGCATCTCAAAGTTTGAAAAGCAGTTTGGCAAGTTTGCCAACTGGAAGAGGTACAATGCAGAGTTTGGGAAGTTTGCGAAGTGGAAAAGGTACAATGCAGAGTTTGGGAAGCTTGCGAAGTGGAAGGGGTACAACGCAAAGTTTCGGAAGTTTGCGAAGTGGGCAAAGTGCGCAGAGTTGCGTTGGTAAAGTATGTGGTATTACATGTGTATGCCCGAATTCTTTATTAGCCCGAAACAAACAAGATAGTAAGTAAACTTTGTTTAGTGTTCGTTTAACGTCACGTCATATATTGCTGAACTCTCACAATCACTTGACAACCTGATGAAAGAGATTGGTAACGTCATTACGGCGTTTCGTAAATTACTGTATATTCTTTTTAGTAATTGTCATGGTCATTTTCAGCCTTAAAAAAAATAAATACAGGAACTGTCTTGAACTATATTAGGTATTTACTTTAAAGGTCTATACTTACTTTGCTATAAACATCGTAATCTTCAATCATACAGGGTGTTCAAAATTCTACGCCAAACTTTCTAAAATATGACATAATTTTTCTTCGTTTTTTTTAAATTGAACACCCTATACATTATTTTTTTATTAGACAGTGTTAGCATCACCAGTCAACACTCGCGCTCCTGGTCGCTCGCATAATAGGGATCGCGAGTATTGGCCGTAGTTCGGCAAGTGACCAGCGACGATCGGTGGGAGGGCGCCACCGTCGACGCACAATGCTCGCTGAAGCCTGTCAGCCGCCGATCATTCACTTGTTCCGCGTGCGCCTGGCCAGTAAATTTTTATCAAAGCCACCCAATGATTTTTCTCTCATATTTTTTACTCGTAAATAATATAGCGAGTGTATGCAAAACCGTTAAAAATTTGAAATACTTTAAATAAAAAAAAAATCATTTTTAATTCTCCATCTACTAAAAAAATAATATACCAGGTGTTCCATTTAAAAAGAGGAAGAACAATTATGTTATATTTTAGAAAGTTTGGCGTCGAATTTTGAACACCCTGTATGATTTAAGATTACGATGTTTATAGCAAAGTAAGTATAGACCTTTAAAGTAAATACCTAATATAGTTCAAGACAGTCCCATTTATAGCAAAATAAGTATGGACCACCAAAAGTAAACAGGTACCTAATGTAATCTTGATTTCAGAAGAGTTCTTGTATTTGTAATATTTTTTTAAAGAAGGCTGAAAATATATATTTTCTATTTATTTATTAAAATCTTTGGAACTATCAAAATATATTTATTCATATCTTAGGATTATGTAAACTGATCTGAAAGGCAGCCATTTAAAGAAAAAAAAGCCTATTAAAAAAATCATTCCGATGCACTCGCACTTTTTTGAGTCACCCTGTAGAACTTAAAATATTTTTCTGAAATACATCCTAGACATAAAAATTCTCAAGTTTTTTTTATTCTAGAAACTAGTGTATACCAACTTTACAGGAGTTATATACAGGGTGGTGCAAACTGTATTCCGAAAACTTCGGCAGCATATTCTGTACATTAAAATAAGAAAAAAAGTTCGTATAAATGTATGTCCTAAAATGCTTAGTTTTGGAGATACAGGGTGTAGAAGTTTCATTTTTATTTCGATTATTTCGAAACAATTTCTGAAGTAACGTCATTATTTGGATGAAAATTTGTGCTTGGGAGTTTTTTGATATGAGAAATTTGATTTTGATGTCAATATGACTCCTACTTGTAGAAGGCGCCACCTACATATTTTTTAATTGTATTAAAGAGTAATAACTTTTTGTCTGTACCTGTATAAAGCTATTGAGAAAAAGAATGTACATTTACGACGTTTTTTACGTCGAAAAGATCTCTTGGTAAAACTCGTTACGAGTAATGGTTCTCGAGATATTTGAAATCGAAATTATCAATACATGTCATCATTGACATAAATTAAATATGTTGACTAAATAGTTATAAGACTGAAATCATAAATTTGAAAAGTATTTCTGTCAAAAGTTCAACAGAAAGTGTTTTATCATGAAAAATTTATGATTAATTTAAAAAAAATCAAATTTTCTCAAATTTATTTTTTCGGTCAAATAGCTATCTACTCAACGTGTTTATTTTTTGTCAATAATGACATGTATTGACTATTATCATTCTAAATATCGTGAGAACGGTTGCTCGTAGCGATTTTTACCAAAATACATTTTTTACGTAAAAAGTCACGGAGATGTATATTTTTTCACTCAGTAGTTTTATACAGGTACGGACGAAAAGTTATTACTCTTCAAAACAGCTAAAACACATGTAGGTGGCGTCCCCTACAAATAGGAGTAGTTTTGACATCAAAATCAGATTTCTCGTGTCAAAAAACCCCCAAATACCAATTTTCATCCAAATATTGACGTTACTTCAGAAATTATTTGGAAAAATCGAAATAAAAATGAAACTTCTACACCCTGTATCTCCGAAACTAAGCATTTTTACGAACTTTTTTAATTATTTTGATCTGTAGAATATGCTGCCGAAGTTTCCGGAATACAGTTCGGACCACCCTGTATATAAATTGTTATTATTTAAATTTCAGTTGCTTCAAAGAGTTCCATTCTACAAGCCGTTGCATCTTCAGACAAAGGAGCTAGAGGTAACTAATAAAGTTGTAAAAATTTGATTATGTTGTAAGTAAAGTCTATCCAAAGTGTAGAGAAAATGTGTGGGATGGGGGGTTAATCACCGACGACCTGAATTATCTATTGTGTCCCCCTTCTCGAGTTATAACTCAACGTACAGTCTATAACTAATATATGGGGATTTTCCTGGGTATTTCTCATCCCTAGTTTATATACAGGAATAATCATAACCGTAATAGATACGAACATGTTTAAATTGGGGCAAAATTGCGCTTTGGGATGTTCACCAAGAGGCCGTCAATAAAGTTTTATGTTAATAAATGAAGTTATATATTAATTTCCAGGATTGCTGAGCTTTTTGGAAAAAACGGTCCTTACTCTTTAGTTATACTTCTCTACCATTTCTAATCCATCTTCCGGGGAAATGATTTGATTGTTTATATTATTTTATTGCATTTGATTTTCCGTATTCAATGTTTTACCCCACGTCATTGTTAAGTTTGAAAGCTTATCTCAATATTGTAACGATGAATAGATTAAATATTAAAAAAAACAGAGCCGGACTTGAAATTACCATAAATAAATTGTGTTCAAATGTCCGCAACAAAAAAAAAATTAAGTGTAACACATCATTGTACTCAGGAAACCCAGTTCTTTCAAAATCTGAAATAAAAAATGCAGGTCCGTATTAAAAAAAATTAAGTTGGCCTCTGTATCTCACAGATTATCAACTAATTTACATATAGTAGATAGTCCTAATAAAGTGGCTATGAGAATGTGCAATTAGTTTTTCGATTTTCTAAAAAGTAACGACAGGAAAAAATAAAATTGATTTTCAAAAAAAATTGTTTTTTCCAAAAAAATCAGCAATCCTTGAAATTTTTAAAACTTTTTTGATGGCATCTTGGTGAACGTCCCAAAGCGCAACTTTGCCCCAATTTAACCATGGTCGTATCTATTACGGTTACCGAGATACCAATGCTCGTACCTCGAATTTGTAGCACCCTGTATACTTACGTGGATAAATCAACGTCATTAGTTTAGCATTAAAAAATATGTCTCCAACATCACGACATGCCATTTCCAAACCTTCTTTATTGCACTTAAGAAACCTTCAATAGGTTTGTCTTTCGAGGACCTTACTTTGCGCCTGCGCATTAAAAGTTGCACGTAGTTCCAAAATAATCACAATTTTATACGGTTAATAAAGTACAAATTATACATTGTTATGGAAACCAACTTTTCATTGTTATTATATTGTCATAATTACAGTTGAGGGTTGGAACCTTTGGTGTTACACAGCAAAATAAAAACACTAAATCACCACAATACACCAAAACACTTCTACTTTTACACTGGACGCGCGTTTCGCTAACCATGTTAGCATCATCAGCAGATGATTATAAACTGATAGAGTTTATAATCATCTGCTGTTCATTGTTATTTTATTGTCATAATCATCACAAAACATCCCCCTTTAGAACTTCGTCTGTCATGTTAAGAAATGAAAATAAATAATAAAGCGCCTCTCGTGTTTGTTCGCACACTAAAAATTTCAATTAATGCCTATATAAATTTTTAGTATATTTTTTAAATTTACATTTTTTTAATTGTAAAGTAATATATTACATTTAAATGGAATATATTACATAACAATTATGTCAATTACAGTATTACAAGCTTGTTTTCTAACATATTTTAAATAAAACGAATTATAAATTTTCCATATACGTATATTTGTCGTAGGTATGAAAAAAGCTTAAACGCTTACTTACATTGCAATAAAAATATTTATATTTATAAATAAAATATATATATATATATATATATATAAATATATATATATATATATATATATATATATATATATATATATATATATATATATATATATATATATATATATATATATATATAACGATATAACACTAAAATCACTGAAACTTCCGCGGCTGACAACGAAAACTGAAAAATATAACGGCACTTTTTGTTTTGGACCTGCATATCAACAGTATGCTGTACTATTATGTGTTTGTTGTTGAAATAATATAAAATATCTAATTATAACTTGTAAATTTTAATATTTTAACATGATTTTAACTACTTTTGATAATAACTAACTTTTTGTTATCCAGATGACATTTTAGACGGCAACTGACATATATGTCATAATATTTGAATCTTAAATATGTATGTAATATAATTTAAATTACTATAATGCAGCTTTATACTAAGAAAACCTTTATACATTCACAAAATACAACAAAGTCTAATAATATAATTTGAAAACAATGAATATTGAATTAAAATTGAAAAAGTTAAGCGCGACCCCTTGTGTCAAAATTAGATGATGAAATTTTCGCAATTTTTACACCATTTGATGACCGGTGGCGCCTCTAGTGTTTGTTCGGGCGGTTGGTCTTTTACTCCCGCTTATGGCCATTAAAGAAAAAGTTCTAAAGGGGGATGTTTTGTGATAATCATATATCATAATCTTATTTCCATTGTGTAACGTCGCTTGTTTTTTGCAATTTTTATTTTAAAAATTGTATTAATTACTCTTTTGTCGACTGCTTTTATATAGCCAAGGATGCAAGTATCTTCAGTGAGAAGTTAATTTTAAGTTTGTGCAATTATATTTCTATTTTTTCCGTTCGACTTTCTAAATACTCGTAAAAATGACTAGAAAGTGTTTGGTGTGTGGAAGTTCTAATATAAAGGTCCCCGAATTATCTTTTCATAAGCAAGTAAAGTATTGAGTTTTATTTATATTAAACCACATGCATACTTTCTGGCTAGATTTCCTAAGAATATTGATATTCGTACGCAGTGGCTAAATGTATTTTTTATATAATTTAATTCTTGTGACAGTAAACAAGCAATTTATTGTTCAAATATATGCATTTTCCAAATTAAATTTTTAAAATTAATGTTCAAATTTGGCGCGTCGATGCTAGGTCCTCGACAAAGATAGACATAGTAGAAGCACCGCGTGTGCAACAAAAAAAGAAGATAAATGGAAGTCGTTGATATGTTTGCGACAGTTTCCATAGTGATTAAATTAGGTATATTAAATATCACCAATCATTTATTTTTTCGTATTAATATACTAATTATAAATAATCTTTAAATAGATGTGGATATTAGCTCCTTAGTACAGAGCTTGCTCGAAGATATGGTTCGTGTTTCTGTGGATGAGGGTGAAGCTGAAGAAAAAAGAGGTAAAGTATTTTGTTTTATAGCTGTTTACTAATAAGATATCTAATAGAGTATTCAGGATAAGATGCGATTAAATGTACCTACGTTTGAAATAAAAATCAGTTTAAAGTTTGCTAAAATACACCAAAACATTTTACTTTTAAAATTAGTAATAATTAATTATGTACTTCTCGCTATCCACGTTATTATCATCATATTTAAACTAAAGTATTATTTACAAATTCAGCTATCCTATCATAGACTTAAAAATACAATATTATTAAGTGTATGTATCATATCCATATACTTTATTTACTAGAGTTAGAGATATATAGTACTGTAGACTAAGATTACATTAGATTTTTGAATTGGCTATCTGGTTGTTCCACTGCGACCTTCTTAGATCTATTGTGGTTGTCTTATGATCCTTAGATTACATTCTCTAGTCCTATCCTTTTCACAAAGTGTAGCAACTTGGAAAAAGGTCTACCAAGTCTACCATGGAAAGATCCAGTGGTTCTCAAAATTTAAGCGAAAAACATGTTTCTTGACTTTTTGCTTTTTTTAATTTTCAAAGTAAAATATTTCGTTTATTTATTTAGTCGACTTATTTGAAAAACAGTAAGTTTATTACCAGCCCTGAAGATATTTGCTGCTATTTAAGACTCACCCTGTCTATATAATTAATACATATAAGTTTTTTTTATAAAAATATCTTAAACTTATTTTCTTCTTTCCAGGTTTCAGAGAAACAGAATCAATATTTAGTAAGAAGAGCGTCTCTTTCCTTCCAGCAAATTTCCAGACGGGAAGCAGTGAGGTAAATCATTATTTGCTTGTGTAAATATTTTATTTATTTTTGATACTGACGTTTGTTTTGTGTAATTCTCTCTCATTTAAAAATAGATTGAGTTTTTCTGGCAATGTTTGAACATTGTCTGTCTAAATCAGAGTTTTTTTTTCTCATAAACAACTTTGAAAATTTTACTAGTTTCGGTGGATCCCCTTGCTGCTACTCTTCTACCATATTCCCAAAACTCGTCAAAAATTTGTGAAGAATAGATCTAACATCTAAAGATGAAAACTTGCGTAGTGCCGGGAAGCATATAAGCACAACGTACATGATTATGGCAAACGCATTGCGATAGAGTTATCTCATTGGCTGATGCCAAATAACAGTACATATTGCTATACAGGCGCCAAAAAAATGTACATTCTGCCACAGAGTTTTTCTTCGCCAAATAACAAGTGAAAGTTTGATATCTGCTGAACAAAAGCACGAAATATTTTAACGAATAATATACGTGTAGTATAAAAGTAAATGACATAATTTGGTTTTGGAATAGAATGTATAAGCACTTGTAAATATTTTGTTTTCGTATGACCTCTGCCTTGCTGAGCAGAAAACGACCTTTAGTTGATAAAAATGTATCGAAACACATACAAAAAATATATATAACCAAAAAATAATTGATGCATTTTTATATCTATTGGAATGCCTACTATTAATTCATCAGTACACATTTTTTGGCTTATTTCTAACAAAACGGTTTTGTCCCACTAGAATTACCGTCCGCCGCACTGTGCGCAAGGTGAAAATATACTATAACCACAGACTTAACTATGGCCACCGTCTAAAAATATTCTAATTAAAAATTTTTAGACGGTGCATTGGCTATAACCACATATAATTCTTCTGGGGGTGTGGTGCTAGCTCTATAAGTTAGGTGCTAGATAGTGCTAGGTGGGTGCAATACAGTGCTAAAGTTTTAATGGAAATAAAAATAAAGCGAAATAATAAATACACTATAACTCTCTTGGGGGTGTGGTGCTAGCTCTGCAAATTGGGTGCTAGGTAGTGCTAGGTGGGTGCAATAGAGTGCTAAAGTTTTAAGGCAAATATTCAACCGGGGGGGGGGGGGCTAGCGTTACATTAGCCCCTCCCGGTAAAAATGTCCTATAACTCGCTAGGGGTTGTGGTGCTAGTAAGTTGGGTGCTAGGTGGGTGTAATACAGTGCTAAAGTTTTAAGGGAACTATTCAACCGGGGGGGAGGGGAGCTAGCGTTACATTAGCCCCTCCCGGTAAAAATGTCCTGTAACTCGCTAGGGGTTGTGGTGCTAGCTCTGTAAGTTGGGTGCTAGGTAGTGCTAGGTGGGTGCAATACAGTGCTAAAGTTTTAAGGGAAAAATTCAACCGGGGGGGGGGGGAGCTAGCGTTACATTAGCCCCCCCCCCGGTAAAAATGTCCTGTAATTCAATAGGTGTCGTGGTGCTAGCTCTGTAACTTGGGTGCTAGGTAGTGCTAGGTGGATGCAATACAGAGCTAAAATATTAAAGAGTGTAGACAACCGGGGGGGAGGCTACTGTAACGGACTCATTAGACAACCCGGTTAAAATGTTCTGTAATTCGCTAGGGGTTGTGGTGCTAGCTCTGTAACTTGGGTGCTAGGTAGTACTAGGTGGGTGCAATACAGTGCTAAAATATTAAAGAGTTTGGACAACTGGGGGGGGGCTACCGTAACGGATCCATTAGACACCCCGGTTAAAAAGTGTTCTGTAATTCGCTAGGGGTTGTGGTGCTAGGTAGTGCTAGGTGGGTGCAATAGATTGCTAAAGTTTTAAGGGAAATATTCAACCGGAGGGGGGGGGGGGCTAGCGTTACATTACCCCCCCCCCCGGTAAAAATGTCCTGTAATTCACTAGGGGTTGTAGTGCTAGCTCTGTAAGTTGGGTGCTAGGTAGTGCTAGGTGGGTGTATTGCTGTATTTCATAAACTAAAAGAAATTTGGCAACACTGTACCTTGAATGGGCATAAAGAGGCAACTTTTCTCTGATTTAACCGACCTTGTAGCACTTACCGTTTCAGAGATAGCAATAGTGGTATCACTTAAGACGGACACACAGTATATTTTATATATTTTACAGAAAGAAATATGTATGCCATAACAGCTCATTTAAAAAGAGAACCAACATTGCACATGCACACGCATATGCACATGCAAAATCACACGGTAGTGGGCACTAGTAACTAAAAAAATATGTTTAATATTTAATATTTAAATATGTTTACTAAAAAAATCTGTTAATAAATGTGCTTAGTTTTTGTAGTATTTGTATTGCATTATACTCTCAGTTAACTTCGCCAATAAAATATTGTATACAGGGTGCGGCAATAGTGAGTCGGGCTTCTGTAGTTCCCTGAATAAAAAACTTAAAGTATAGTATAGTACCTAAAGTATGTACCAGGATGTATTTCAGGAAAATATTTGAACTTCTATAGAGTGGCTCAAAAGAGTGTGAGTGGATCTGGATGATTTTTTTAAATGGAACGCCCTGTATATTTTTGCATTTTTGACTTCCTTTCAGATCACTTTACATAATCTTAAGACATGAGTAAATATATTTCGATAGAATTCAATTCAGAGAAATTAAAAAATAAATTAAAAATATTCATATATTTTTCACCCCTTCTTTAAAAAAATATGAAATATACAAGAACTGTTCTAAAATCACAACTATATTAGGTATTTACTTTAGATGGTCTGTTCTTACTTTGCTGTAAATATGGTAATCGTAAATCATACAGGATGTTCAATATTTTACGCCAAACTTTCTAAAATATAAAATACTTTTTCTTTGTTTTTCTAAATGGAACACCCTGTATATTATTTTTTTTATTAGATGGAGAGTTAAAAAATGAACATTTTTTGTATTTAAAGTACATATTTCAAAATTTTTAATAGTTCTGCAGATACACGCAGTATTATTTCATATGGCGCTTTCAAATACGAGAGAAAAATCATTGGGTGGCTTTGATAAAAATTTACTGTGGAAAATGCCATATGAAATATAAAACCGCGAATATCTGCGAAATCGTTAAAAATTTTGAAATACTCTAAATACAAAAAATGTACATTTTTTAATTCTCCATCTATTGAAAAAAAATAATAGTTCCGTTTAGAAAAACAAAGAAAAAGTATTTTATATTTTAGTAAGTTTGGCGTAGAATATTGAACATCCTGTATGATTTACTATTAATATATTTATAGCAAAGTAAGAATAGTCCATCTAAAGTAAATATCTAATATAGTTTTGATTTTAGGATAGTTCTTGTATTATTAATATTTTTTTAAGAAAGGCTGAAAAATATTTAATTTTTATTTATTTATTAATATCTCTGAAATTAACGAAATATATACTCATACCATAGGATTATTTAAAGTGATCTGAAAGGAAGCCAAAGATGCAATAATATATAGGATGTTCCATTTAAAAAAAATCATCCCGATCCAGTGTGTTAAATATTAGCCTTTTGTGTTAAAAATGGCACCCTAAAAAGCATATTCTACATTACTTTTTATTCGGGCCCTCCCTAAAATAAATTCCTGTATCCGCCCCTGTCCCGATCCACTCACACTTCTTTGAGCCACCTTATAGAAGTTAAAATATTTTCCTGAAATACATCCTAGTACATACTCAGGTTTGCGTTTGCACTTAAACAAAATTCTCAAGTTTTTTATTCTAGGAGCTATAGATGCCCGACGCACTATTGCCTGGACCCTGCATAAAGTTTAAACAGAAATCGTTATAGTCGGGTCGACATTGATTTTGAAAATAAAATTTTCACAATCTTTTACTTAAGGCAATCAAATATACATCTAAATATATAAAATTTAAGGTTACATTGTACTATTAAATATAGTATATAAGGTTAAAAAAGAAGCAGCAAGTTAAAAACTAATAAAGAAATAACTTAATATTTCTTTTTGGATTATATAATTTTTCGGACAATAGATAGTATATAGGGTGGCGCACCTCATTCGCCTCGGTTGATTATACGAAAACGGAAAGATGTAGAAACAAAATATTTTATAGGGATATGTGGGGAGGCAATGTGCACAATTTAAAATTATTTTGAAATATACAGGGTGTCTCAGAACTAAGATCCATATCAAACTTATATTTTTTCTGTTGTAATAGTGGTTTAGTTTTTTTGTTTTGTGAAATATATATTTTTTTAATTTTATAGGTACTTTAGGTTTATATTAGTATTGTTTAAACTTTCTTTTAAGTATGGAAATCACTTGATTTACAAAATAAAACTTTTTTACAAACATAATTAAATTATAAACACTTCTTCGTCTGCACGCATATAATATATTTTTTGTATCCCATTGTTAAATTAGTATCTTGTTATTTTATTTTTTCACGGGGGAACTTGAATTTTTTTATTAAGAAAGGTCTAAACCAACAGCTAGTGATACAAGAAGTGATTTTTAAAGAATTTATAAACTTATGTCTTTCACCTTTCACTTGCTCACCCAATCCAAACATTTCCCAAAACCGATCCCCCAAGTTCACCCTTTAAACAAGGGGGCGTGGGGCTGTTAATGTAAGAAAAACATTGTTTGGAGTTCACCAGAAATCATTACTAAGCAATAACGGTAAATCTACAGGTGTGTACCTCTACCGATATTATTAAATGACACGCTTTACAAAAAATAATTTAGACCGGCCGGCGTTTTGCTAAAATTCAATTAAAATTATAAAAATATATAGATATTGTTCTTTTCACCATAAATAAAGCAGCTGGGCTACAAATTACTTATTAAAGTATTTTTTTCTATTTATGACCGCTATATCCCTATACCTCGATCCACTGTGCGACGGAAAATACTATGAGACTATGATATATATATATATATATATATATATATATATATATATATATATATATATATATATATATATATATATATATATATATATATATATATATATATATATATATATATATATATATATAAAATATGCACTTTTGTATATAGGTAAATTGTGTCAAATGAACTTATTTTGATTCGAAAAATACATAGTAGTTCTATGTCCACGGAATATTGCATTTTGAATATTGACACCCTGTATATCAGACAGATATTGTTTCTTTCTATAAAGTTTCACTTGCAATACATTATTGAAAATACTATTTATTTAACGACTTTCTATGTAGAAAGTACTTTTAGTAAAATCTATTAAAAATATTAAAAAAGTGCAGGACTTGCAAGACTCTTGCAGCAAAACCAAGACCACGACCGGGCCATGCAGGGTCAAGATTAGTTATAGCATTACAAAATTATTGATAAAACAGTATCAAAATAACCGTCATATGATTTCGACAAACAAGAAGTTACAGACACATACAGGGTCCGGCAATAGTGCGTCGGGCATCTGTAGCTCCTAGAATAAAAAATTTGGAAATTTTGTTTAAGTGCAAACCTAAAGTATGTACCAGAATGTATTTCAGGAAAATATTTTAACTTCTATAGGGTGGCTCAAAAAAGTGTGAGTGGATCTGGATGATTTTTTTTAAATGGAACACCCTGTATATTATTGCATTTTTAGATTCCTTTCAGATCACTTTACATAATCCTAAGATATGAGTAAATATATTTCGATAGTTTCAGCGATATTTAAAATAAATCAAAAATATATATTTTTCAACCCTTCTTAAAAAAATTAATAAAAATACAAGAACTCTGTTCTGAAATCAAAACTATATTAGGTATTTACTTTAGATGGTCTGTTCTTACTTTGCTATAAATATGGTAATTGTAAATTATACAGGATGTTCAATATTCTACGCCAAACTTTTTAAAATATAAAATATTTTTTCTTTGTTTTTTAGAACACCATGTATATTATTTTTTTGTTATATGGAGAGTTAAAAAATTAACATTTTTTGTACTTAAAGTATTTCAAAATTTTTAATAGTTCTGCAGATACACGCAGTATTATTTCATATGGCGCATTCAACGGTAAAATACGAGAGAAAAGTCATTGGGTGGGGCTTTGACAAAAATTTACTGTGGAAAATGCCATATGAAATATAAAACCGCGAATATCTGCGAAACCGTTAAAAATTTTGAAATACTCTAAATAGAAAAAATGGTTAATTTTTTAATTCTCCGTCTATTAGAAAAATAATATACAGGGTGTTCCATTTGAAAAAACGAAGAAAAATTATTTTATATTTTAGAAAGTTTGACGTTCAATTTGGAACATCTTGTATGATTTACGATTTCCATAACTATAGCAAAGTAAGTATAGACCATCTAAAGTAAATACCTAATATAGTTTTGGTTTTAGGACAGTTCTTGAATTATTAATAATTTTTTTAAGAAAGGCTGAAAAATGTATAATTTTTATTTATTTATTAATATCTCTGAAACTATCAAAATACATTTACTCATGTCTTAGGACTATGTAAAGTGATCTGAAAGGAAGCCAAAAATGCAATAATATACAGGGTGTTCCATTTAAAAAAACTCATCCCAATCCACTCACACTTTCTTGAGTCACCCTATAGAAGTTAAAATATTTTCCTGAAATACATGCTCGTACATACTTTAGATTTACACTTTAACAAAATTCCTAAGTTTCTTATTCTAGGAGCTACAGATGCCCGACGCACTATTGCCGGATCCTGTATATCAATCTATTTTTAATTAATATGACAAACAATAGTTAGAGTCGTATATTCTTTCGCTGGACAGGCTATATATTTCTTCACTATTACAATACGTTGTTTATTGCAGGCTTCAGAAATTGCAATGAAAAGATCAACATCATCATCTTCAAGTTCTATTCTGAATGAAGATTCAAGGCAGTCAAGGGGGTTAAGAATGACGAGAGATAGTATATTTCTACCAAGATTTCAAAGTCTCAAATTATCTAAAAGCATAGAACCATTCCAGAATCTGGACAGAGACAGTTTAGAAGAATTTATTATCAGGAAATCTAATAGCGAACTACCAACTATAGATGAGGACAATAGTGATGTCCCGAGCAGCAAAGCTAGCATTTATAAAAATTATGAGAGAAGAAGTTTCGGAAGCAGACTAGATAGAGAAGATAGTTCAGCAAGGCATGCCAGTTCCATCTATGAAACACCACCCAAAAAGAAAAGCGCACCAATATTAAAAACAACCTCTCTGGGAGTAAATCCTTCGGTTCCTGATTGTTGTGCACAGAAACAATATATACCAGAACCACCCAAAAAAGTAAGCTTACCAAAATTGCAAGCAAGTTGTTGTGAAGGAATGAATCAAAATAATCTAGAAGATAGTTTAGCAAGGCTTGCCAGTTACATCTATGAAACACCACCCAAAAAGATAAGCGTACCAATATTAAAAACAAGCTCTGTGGCAATAAATCCTTCGGTTCTAGATTGTTGTGCACAAAAACAAGATATACCACAATTACCCAAAAAAGTAAGCTTACCAAAATTACAACAAAGCTGTTGCGAAGGAGTTAATCAAAATACAACAGATTTTAGCCCAGTAACGCGCCCCAGCTACAATGAATATCGTATTAGTGAACCAAAATTAAAAACAAGCTGTTGTGCAGGAGTAAATCAAAATAAAGTAGAAACTAGCTCAGCAACGTATGCCAGTTACAATGAAAATCCTATCGATCAAATAGATGATGAAGATGACATTGATTATTCATTAAGTGGCTCAGTTACTGCAGGTATTATGAAAAAATCTTCTGCTTGTTGTTCGGGAAAACATCAAAATGTAAAAGAATACATTCCCATAATACCACCACAAGCACGTGCGCCATGTTGTGAAGAAAAAACAGCAACTGATACTAGTAATTATGTAAGCCCTATAGTTAAAAACGTAGAAAAAGATGAGGAGGATCTTAGTGAAGAGTTGGAAAGCTCGGAAAGTTCAGAAAAATCAAATAATTCCTACGTGAATAGAGAACGACGCGATTCAAATCAATCTTCTGAGTCCAGTAAAAAGTCGGAAAGTACGAAATCAAGTACGGATAATGCAGAAGAAGATTTAAAACAATCTTCGGAATCCAATAAAAAGTCAGAAAATTCGGAATCGAGAATAGATAGTGCAGAAAAAGATTTAAAACAATCTTCCGAGTCCAGTATATTGTTAGAAAGTAAAAAATTAAATATTGATAATGCAGAAAAGGATTTAAAACGATCTTCTGAGTCCAGTAAAAAGTCAGAATCTACGAAATCAAGTATAGATAGCGTAGAAAAAGGCTCAAAGCGGTCATCTGAGTCCAGTAGAAAGTCAGAAACTTCGAAATTAAGTATCGATAATGGAGAGAAAGGTTCAAACCGGTCATCTGAGTCCAGTAGAAAGTCAGAAACTTCGAAATTAAGTATTAATGCAGAGAGAGGTTCAAACCGGTCATCTGAGTCCAGTAGAAAGTCAAAAACTCCAAAATTAAGTATCGATAATGCAGAGAAAGGTTCAAACCGGTCATCTGTGTCCAGTAGAAAGTCAGAAACTCCAAAATCTAGTATGGATAGTGTAGGAAAAGGTTCAACCCGATCATCTGAGTCGAGTAAAAAGTCTGATGAGGCTGGTATAGATAAGTCGACTAGTAATGATTCTGCTTCTAAAAACAAATCAAAGCATAGCCACACTAATATAGATGATGGAAATAAGAATGGTATTGAAAATGAGGATGATAGAAAACCTAAAAGGTTTTCAAAAATATTTTGCGGGGCTGTTGAAGGCGATGCGGAAACTGACGATCTGTGTAAAGAGGGTTGCAGTTCATACGAACAACTAGAAGGGGGAACATCGAAGACGCCTTGCTGTAGGGAGAACTGTTTATCATTTGCGTGTAGCGAGATTGCGCTTAAGAATCGCAAGATGTAATTTTTGGGCTAATAAAAATATATCTGTAGAACTCTCTTCTGTATATATTATGCTTTCTATACCGGGTGCGTCTCGAAAGTGGCTCACCTCTATAATTTTTTTACGTTTTCAGATAAAAAAACGAGATTTGGTGTGTTAGTATATGACATAAATTAGGATTGATTGACATATTCAATTGTTTTTGGTTACTTCCTGTTTCACCGGAAATGACTGCCTACAATTTTTGATTTTTAAATGGCACCCTCGGTATTTTTTTACTTTATTCGATAGAAAATGACATTCTGAATAGAATGAAATATCATATGTCAACTTTTAACATTCTCGCTTTATAAAAAATCGTATTTTAAATTTCAATCCAGAGTGCCTATGTTAAAAACACTAATTCGTAATCAAGGAGCCTTGGAAAAATATATTTGATCGTCTAATGTTTTTAGTGTCTTGTTCTGGCCAGTTAAAAAATGCCAAAATCATATTTTTAATAATTTCTTAATTTTTTTAAATGGAACGAGAGTGGCTCATTAGCATATTTGGAAAAAGCATTTTTTTACGAATAATTTGATACACACATTGTATTTCGAGTCAAATTGTCGTTATAAACCGCATCTTACAACTTCAAATAAACCATATGCTAAAATGTCAAAAGTTGACATATGATATGTCATTCTATACAGAGTGTTATTTTCTATCGAATAAAGTAGAAAAATACCGAGGGTGCTATTTGAAAATCAAAAGTTGTAGCCATTTCCTGTGAAACAGGAAGTGACCGAAAACAATAATTGAATACGTCAAACAATCCTAATTTATGTCATATACTAACATCCTTCAACTTTGTAGATTATAGATAATATCTTTGTAATTATAGATAAATTAGATCCTAAAAACTATTAGTTCATTAATAGTTTTTAGTTGCATAAAAAACCGTATACTCTCGTATACTCTGGCATATTTTATTTTGTTTATTTTGTTTTGGACCGCCAATTTTTCTGTAGAAAATTGGATTCAGGATGAAATGCATAAACATTTTTATCTAGCTTCCTTTGATATTAAGTGTCAAATCAGACAATTTATTTCTTTCTCTCAGAAACTTGCTGTATCTTAAAAACAGCAAGTGTTGCTGGGATGAAATTTAGAGCAGGATGCAACAGTATACCCCTGTAAGCAAGCAGGAAACAGTTTTAGCGATCTTGCTTCTCATGTGTTGCCAACTGGGAAGTCAGCAACCAAAATAAAAGTATCTATTGCTCAAAATTTGAAGGTGTGGCTGGGTTGGGATTTGAAGCAGGATAAAGCATCAGGATTGTAGCAGCCCAAGCAGGATCGTATTTTATAATTCCTGCTTTCAATGAGTTGCCAACTTCCCCGATCTAAAAATTTTAATTTTTTTTTTCTCAAAAAACGGTTAATGGTGATATAGTGTTTGATATCAAAATTCATAAAATTTCATTGTAACATATGTAAAAAATGGGTATGCCCATTTAAAATAAGAAAGTTGCTGTCAACTTACGGTACTTCCGGAAGTACCGCCATGTTGAAAATAGTTTTATCGATAGATCTCGTTGTGAAACAATGATATACAAAAAATCTCCGGTCTAGATATTGTAGTTTTCTAGAAACTTCTAATGTACGCTCAGACTGAGACCTGGGTGTTGTATACAGGGTGCTACAAATTCGAGGTACGAGCATTGGTATCTCGGTAACCGTAATAGATACGAAGATGGTTAAATTGGGGCAAAGTTGCCCGCCTTGGGATGTTCACCAAAATGCCACCAAAAAAGTTTTAAAAATTTCAAGGATTGCTGAGTTTTTTTGGAAAAAACGGATTTTTTTGAAAATCAATTTAATTTTTTCCTGTCGTTAGTTTTTAAAAAATCAGAAAACTAATTGCGCATTCTCATAGCCACTTTATTAGGGCTATCTGATAATATTTTTAGATTTTTAAATTAGCTGATAATTTGTGAGATACAGAGGCCAACTTAATTTTTTTAAATACGGACCTGCATTTTTATTTCAGATTTTGAAAGAACTCGATCTCCTGAGTACAATGATATGCCACACTTTATACTTTATTTTTGTTTCGGACATTTGAACTCAAAATTTATTTAAACTAATTTCAAGTCCGGCTCTGTTTTATAAATATTTAAATTATTCATCGTTACAATATTGATAAGCCTTAAAACTTAACTATGACGTGGGGTAAAACATTGAATACGAAAAATTAAATTCAATAAAAAAAATAATTGCATTACTTGACGTCATTTGTAAAAGTGAAATCAATGTTTTTCAACATTTACCAAAAAGAGTACAAAATGCATTCGGAAATATAAGAAGAAGATATTATGTTCAAAGAGCTATAAATAAAATTGAAAGAATAATAAATATGTGCAATAGGCAAGGTGGTAACCCTTTCGAACATGTAGAGCGTTAGAAACTTAGTTTGTAGAAGGTGATTTATTTATAATATCTACGATTAATATTATGCATATTGTTAGATCGTACCAAATCGTACACTGAGAAATTCAAATTCACAATAAAAAAAGTTAAAAATAATATCTTTAAATTGCTGAGCTGGATATTATTTATTTGAATCCTTCAGTTGGCTCGATTTTCCTTATTCAATGTTAATTAGCGCTGATCAATATTGTTGCAATGAATATAATCAGATTAAATATTTTAAGAAACCAGGATCGGACTTAAAAATATTTTAAATAATAATTAAATAGTTTTGTTGTTATTAAGGAACCCAAAACAAAAAAAGTATAAAGTGTGGCATATCATTGTACTCAGGAGACCGAGTTCTTTTAAAAACTGAAATAAAAAATGCAGGTCAGTATTTTAAAAAATTAAGTCGGCCTCTGTATCTCTCAAATTATCAGCTAATTTGAAAATCTAAAAATACTATCAGATATCCCTAATAAAGTGGCTATGAGAATGTGTAATTAGTTTTTTGATTTTCTAAAAACTAACGACAGGAAAAAATAAAATTGATTTTCAAAAAAATCCGTTTTTTTTTCAAAAAACTCAGCAATCCTTGAAATTTTAAAAACTTTCTTGATAGCAAATTGGTGAACATCCCAAGGCGCAACTTTGCCCCAATTTAACCATCTTCGTATCTATTACGGTTTCCGAGATACCAATGCTCATACCTCGAATTTGTAGCACCCTGTATAATCTCAGTAGTTGTAGTTTTAGAATTTAGATTAGTTTACACCATAGAGAATGATAGTAAAAAGAGAGTGGCAGATTAAATTAGGACGAATGGCATCGCATTTTGTTTTCCAGTCGCGCAACTCAGATCTCCTAAATTTGTAAATGTGAATGTATGTTGTAAAAATGTTAGTTAATTGATTTTTTCTTAAACTAAAGGCCCTTTAAAACATTTAGCGCTTCCAATGGTACCTACTTCCTTCGGCCTTTTTAGCCTGATGTTCCTTTTGATACAAAATGATTTGTATTTGTGTTAAATTTAACATTTTTTTACAAAACTGTGATTAATAAACTGCCATTCTTCACACCGTCACTGTCATGTGTTCACTGTCATTCATTGACTCTTTGGCATTATTGTTAGTTTTCCCTATAGGAAAAACTATAAATTATAATTTTCGTTTGAAATCTATCAGATGTTCGTTCGAAACTTATGTTGAAGCATTTTAATTAATTTATCTTCGAAAGTTGAATTTGCCAATTATTTACCATTTAAAAATTTTAGTTATCTATAGTCCTTCTAGAAAGTATCCGGAATTTTATATTTTTCCTAATTTTAATGTATTTTTTTTCTGCAACACTCTAAGACAATAGTAATCCATCATGTAGGTTGTGCCGATAGTAGGCTATCATGGTACAAAGAAAACAAGGTATGATCGATAGCGGCTCCAATTTCGTTAAGTTTGCGCATACCACCTGTGACGTCATACGCCATACAAAAAAATATCCATATTGTTCAATTGCCACTTATAAAAAAAGACCTAAAATGGGGAAGAATTAGGACATAACCCCAAAAGTTATGTTTTGACATCGAGCTTGACATTTGAAAAATTATTTTCATATTTTGACACAATCAAATTTCACAGATGACACAATCTGTTTGACAATTTGAAATTGGCGCGCAGAGCTTGCCGACCAATAGTGCCGTTTATCACCTGTGACGTAGTGACCAACCTGCGCAATATCATACCTTGTATTCTTTGTATCATGGTAGGCTATAACATAACCAAAATCGCATGGCAACGCCATCTGTCAAATATTGTTAATTGTAAACCAGCTTAAGATTTGAGAAATAATGTCGCAAGTAAAAAAATGAGAAAGGGTGGAATATTTGTATAGAAAAGGTGTTCGAAAGGTTAAAAAATTAGTGCAATTGACCGAACTCGGAAAAAGTGCAGTATATGAGACAATAAAGAGGATAAAAAATGGCACAGATATGAAGCATGGACCATAGACTTAAAATATTATCTAAAGAAGCGCCTTTCTACAACAACGCCACTGACTCCTAATGGGTAAATTGAGAGTTGCCTACCGGACAAAAGTCGTTTCAAGATAAATGGATTATTTAAGTCAAATTTCTTGCAAATTTGACACTGGCGAACCATATTTTATAGTTCTTGAACAGAAAAAGTCAATAAAATAAACACTTAAGGACTACAAGCTAAGAAAATGCGTTAATCCAGCCGGGGAGATAGCGGCAACAAAGCTTTACCGCACACGTGCGACACGTACTACAAGGTAACAAATGATTGAATAGGCTCCCTTGCCTCTAATCGGTGTTGTCATATTGTAAAGAACTTATCCTTTTTAAACAGTATCCGACTTATAATTTAGTAGTATAAGGACTATTTAATACATCTATGGAATATTAAAACCTACTTTATTAAACTGTAGTATTAATATCTCAATATATGTGTATAACAAGAAAAAAAATATTGATAATATTAAAGACGTGACAACATAGGCTGGATGAGGAAGGCTCGGTCGACTGTATCCAGAAGTAAACATGTATACAAAAAAGATTGTTTGTCCGCGTTGAGATGTAAATAGTGTAGTCTATATTTTATTTTAAGTCTATGGAGCATGGACCAGTTTCAGGAAGACCGCGAAAGAGCCTCGAAAACAATTTAAACGCTTTAGTGGCATTAGGACGACAGAATTCGCGCCTAGGGTTTCGCAAATTGGCTAACAGATTTGAAAGTCAGTAAAAATTAAAAGTGTGTCCAGAAACTGTCCGCATATCATTGAAAAGACAAGGCTACATATCAAGAAACCCCAAAAAAATAATAAACTGCAATAACACCGCTACAAAGGCAGCGAAGAATGGATTTTTGTCAACGTTTTCAAGATGATAATTTTAATAATGTTTTTATTTCTGAAGAAAGTTGTTTCTAGCCTTGGTGGAAACTACCTAAAAATCCTATCAAAAGGAAATGTTACCGTTCAAGTTTCAAAATTTCGCACTAAAATAATGGTTTGGGGAGCAATATCTCAGCGTGGTGCTACACCTTTGTGTATAATTGATAGAACTGTTAATAGTGCAAAATATTATGATATTTTAAATGGTTTTCTTCTTGAAAGGGCTCGTCTTTTATATCCAGAGGGGTGGTTTTCAGCAGGATAATGCAAGATGCCATACGTTTGCCTATACTCAAGCATGGATCCAAGAACACCATCTGGCAAATTCCATGGCCAGCAGCTTCACCAGACCTTAGTCCCATTGAAAACATATGGGGGCTAATGAAGATTGAAGTGGAACGAGCAGCTCTACGAAATAAGCAAGATTTGATTCGCTCAGTTTTACAGGCCTGGACTACCACCACTGAACATTATGGTGTGGACCTAGTTTCGGGTGTACCTGGACGTTTAGTTAAGTGTTTGGAGTTAAATGGAGGTTGTATAAGTAAACAAAATTAATAATTTGTTATAATTTTTTTAACTCAAGTCCTAAAAATATATATCGATAATTGTAATTTTGCTTTCTTTTTTCCGGATACTTCCTAGACGGACTATATTTGATAATAGGTATAATAATAATATGTTTTAAAATATTTAATTATACCCACTTAAATAATAACATATTCAACATTCGTCGATGGATTAGTTGAAAGTTGAAGTTCAATTTTTTTTTTAAATTTGTCTTTTTATCACAGCAGCGCTAGTGAATGCGATTCCAATTTTTACTATGCAATCTGCATCTCTCTTTTTATTACTTTCTCTATGGTTGTTTACACTTGATCACGCTCATTGAAACATTCTATGGATACATCTAATCGAAACGTTAAAATATTATTCAGTTATTATGTTATTATTCGGACTTAATTATAATAATAAAGACCGAAAATCTTCTTTTAGTATCAGTACTGAATCATTATGTATCACCAACGGTATCACATTGAAAGAAATATCTAATATACACTATACACTAAAAATTAAAATAATAAATCAAATAAATCAGATACTGTTATAATGTCTATGTATTCTGGCTAAAAAATAAGTTATTCTTTATTAGGTACATAGATACAGGAAAATGTAGGTATATTATAATATTGTATTATTTCACAACCATCACAAATTAGGTCGATCCTGATTTATTCTTATCGCTGTGTCATGCAGTGACTCTTCATGGCTGAGGTAACGGACAGCAAACACCGGCAAATCTGTAAATACCAGAGAATATATAAAATTATATCTTCTGACAAGTGTTTAAAAAGTAATTCTAAAACCTCATTCAGAAACTCGAACTTAGTGGTTTCAATTATACAAGGTGTCCCAGAAATAAGTGCATGAATTTTAAAAGTCCGAAATTCTTTTAGTTTCAATACTAAATCATTGTAAACGTTGGAAATAAAATATCAGAAATTGACTTTAGAAATCCTATAATGTAAGTTTGAAATGAAATCTAAATATAATAAAGAATTTTTACCCTTTAATTTCACAAAAATGTTGTTTGTATGTTGCAAAATCTGTCAAATAACTTTGGATAACTTTACATTCGTGCAACAACGTGCACTGTCCATTAGTGGTGTTCACAGAATTCGTGCAAGTATCACCAAGTCCAAGTGTTTCATTCTGGCCCAATGGATACGTTGCTGGAATATAAAAAAAATAAATATTGTAATCGCAAAACATTTTCCGATGCACGTCATCAAACGTATCGACATTGACAATAAAGTCTATAAACCTGTTTGAATGAAATTTTGGCAAAAATGTTTAAATTTGTTGTATAATTTAAGATACCGAGCAGCTCCTCATTTGACCTTATAGAGCAAATGATTGTAACAGATATTTTATATAGATTAAAGCTGCAAAAGTTTAAACCGAATTTTATTATCGCTATGTTGGTCACATTGCGCCGTTTTCAGCAAGGTTGTCGTTTACGTTTATTATTTGACAATTAGGTCTGGCGTCAGTCATTATTTTGTATAATATCGTGTTGTTGAATCTTTGTGAGTAACTCTCGTTTTTGCCTATTTTCATAGTCTTTTTTTAAAAATTGTACTTTTAAGCACAAACAGTTTTTTTTTAAAACTAAATTTTCGAGTTTTTGTATTGCATTTCTTGAAATTTGTGTGCTGAAAATATGCCGAAGCATTTAAACAGTCCCGCAAAGATCGTGTAGCTTCCCTGAAAAACTATTTTGAACGAGAACGTGACAATAAAAGTCCTTTATTACCCTTGACTGCAGTCAAAGAAGTAAGTTTGAATGATAAGCATATTACACCACACATCTTACTTGTTATTACCACTTATGATGTTTAAGATATACATCAATAAATAAATAAATAACCCATAATAACGCTTAAAATAATCTTCATAATGGACTAGTTAATAAGTTATAAGTAAAATAAGCAAATAAATCAATTAATTACTAAAATATTAAGTATTAAATTAAAAATAAAACGTAAAAATCTTTAAAAAATTATATAATAAATATATTGTTTGTCACTTTTAAATTAAGATTCATCTTATAAATCTATCACAATCTGGCAGCGCTGTCGCCATTGCTTGTCATTCAAAGTTGATCACGTGCATCGGAAATTGTTTTGTGATTACCATAAGTAGCCGAATTTCTGACTTTACCTAAAGTCACCCCTACACAAAACGTTTTACTATACGTTTTGCTAGTCAGCTGAAATGGTTAAAATTTCGAATTTACCTTCATTAATAGTGATAGTTCCATTTTCATTCAATACATCCTTAAGCCAGGGAAGTGAACTGCTTTCAGCTAGCGTTGTAGTGGGAGAAATATCGGTAATATCAAAATTTTCTTGAACAAAAAATATATGATAAATTATACGTCATATTACAATGCGTCGAGTAATCAAACGAAAATGACGTCACGGTTGAGCGTAAAAACAATAGTTTATTTCCACATGTCTAAGTATATCTATCACCTAAAGTTATTGACAACTGTTTATTGTCTAGTTAATAAACTGCATTAGATAATCTTAATGAAACTTAGCCTGGGTGCTAGGGCACGAGGGTCACAAGGTTAACGAAAACGCAGATGAAATGGCCAAACAAGGCAACAAATCTCTATAGAATGGTGGAGAAATTTACAAGGGCAAGGTTGTTATATTTACCTTCCTCAGTACGAATACCAACTCCAGAATCTAAAACAAACAGTATACATATTATATATTAGATATCAGGTAGGTATTTTTATTTTTGCTATTTAGAATTTATTTTCTTTAAATCCTTCCTTATTCTCTTAAGTTATGAACACTGATAGTGTTAAGCTTCATTCAGAACCTCCCAATTTGTGGAAATCAAATTAGTGGTTTCAATTATACATTATACTTTTTAGTTTACGATTATTCACAATGTTTAAAAGCACAATTAAAATTAATAGTATATCCTAGCAACAGCTTGCGGTAGTCTGTTGTATCCATAGAGAAAGAATAATATTTAGCTTATAAAACAAGAAACTTTCGATTTCTAACCAAAATTTTTCTTGACGGATGATAATCAAAGGCCAAAATGACATTCCTCGCAAATTTTGAAGTATAATCAGTGGAAAAGTCAAAAGTTTGTTAACTTTTTCCGATAATTGAAAATTACTACCACTAATTATGACGTTCTGAATGCTTACATTAAAATTAGGTGAACAAACTTCTACGGCTAATTGAAGCTACTAATTTATTCCACTGATTTCGAGGTTCTCAATGAAGCTTTGCTCATCAAGTGACTATTATTTTTATTATTTTCCTAGAATTTTTTTGTCTTTAGAAGAAATGAGGTGATTATTTTCCTCTAATTTATTAATCTAATTTTAAGATGATAATCAAATGTAAGTCAGATCGATACTAAAGCTTCATTCAGAACCCCGCAATTAGTGGAATAAATTAGTGGTTTCAATTATACATTATACTTTTTAGTTTACGATTATTCACAATGTTTAAAAGCACAATTAAAATTAATAGTATATCCTAGCAACAGCTTGCGGTAGTCTGTTGTATCCATAGAGAAAGCCTAATATTTAGCTTATAAAACAATCAACTTTTGATTGCTAACCAGAATTTCTCTTGGCGGTAGATAATCAAACGCCAAAATGACATTTCTGGCAAATTTTGAAGTATAGTTAGTGGAAAAGTTAAAAGTTTGATAACTTTTTCTAGTAATTGAAAATGTCTACCACTAATTTTAACATTCTGAAATTAAAGGAACAAACTTCTACGCTAACTGAAACCACTAATTTATTCTACTAAATGCGAGGTTCTCAATGAAGCTTAACGTAATACAACGCCGAAAAGCTTTGACGTAAAAATGAAAATACGTCATCGATCAGCGTCATTTAGTCTATGCGGGACAAGGGCTTGACAAACGTTTCTATTACAAATTAAATAAAAATGTGAAATTTAAGCATGCAAAAAACTTTTATACTAGAAAATTAAAATAAAAAAATACAAAAATATAAGAAATTACATACCAATTTGTAAAGTAGGGGAGGGTGTACTGGCGTATTGTGGTGGCGCTATAAATAAATTATCCAGTAAACAATCGAGCAACGATAACAATAATATCTTAATTAAAATACCGTAGTCCGTAAATTGATATACTCAGAATTTGTGCTAATAATGGATATAAAGGCGGATTTTCATGCATCCGTTATCCGTTGATACTATCATCCGAAGGCGCTGTGATTGGTCATAGTATTTTCGCGCCATTTTTGGTCATAATTTTACATTTAAAAAAATGGTAAAAAATTAAGAATGATTGATAAGTAAAACTTAAAGGCTGTAAAAAAAGTATACGGCCCAACCAAGAAGGTAAGCTGCCCAATCATTGCACAAAATGAAACCGCTGGAAACAGCCATATCCTTAACCAAAAAAAACAACCCCAATATGGAAGCACTATACAGAATACCTCAGTATAACAGCCTCGATTTATTAGATACCTCAATAACAGAACAGGAAATAATGGCATCCATAAAACAGCTTAAAAACAACAAATCAGCTGGCTGTGACGCGATCCCGGCGGAAATCTATAGTGTGCAAGTAAAGAACTTATTGGTCACCTTAAGGCTCTCTTCGATGTCATATGGGAAAGCGAAGAGGTACCTCAGGACTTTTGCAACGCGAATATAGTGAATATATTTCAGAACAAAGGAAGTGCATCAGACTGCGGAAATTACCGGGGAATGTCACTATTCCCTATCGGAGGAAAAATTCTTACAAAAATTATGTCAAATCGCCTGCACCCACATATAGAAAAAATCCTTTCAGAATCGCAAACGGGTTTTCGCATCAACCGTAGCACCGTCGATTCCATATTTTCCATCCGCCAACTACAGGAAAAAATAAAAGAGCAGCAGTCTAAACTTTATGTTGCATTCATCGATCTAACAAAAGCCTTAGACTCTGTGAACAGAGATGCACTTTGGGCAATTATGAAAAATTCGGAGTACCCAACAGATTTCTTACAGTGTGTAAAAGCCTCCATAACAACAACCATCAAGAGTGTCACATCATGGACTACTGAGCGATCCCTTCCTGACAAATACAGGAGTTAGGCAGGGATGTGTCTTAGCGCCTCTCCTATTCAACATATTCATGGCAGCGCTCTGCATTATAGTGGACAACAAACTGCAGGAGAGAGGATAGGGCATTAGATACAGATATGACGGCGGTCTGTTCAACATAAAAAGACTCAGGGCAAAAACACGTACAAAATCACAGAACTTCAATACGCTGATGACTGCGCTCTAGTTGCAAACACGTTACAACAATTACAAGAAATGTTGAACACATATCTGGAAATACGAGGCTTTGGGCCTTAAGCTAAACAACCATAAAACCAAAATCATGTGCACTCCCCGGAAGATCATAACAATGCTACAAAAATCGAAGAAGAATGTGAATAATTGTGGTGATTGTCATACATTTTTGAACGCATTGTCCGATGAAAGGAGGCATGATTAGATTAGATTCTTCGAGGGAGCTATCGGCCTGTTCCCCTTGGGCCTGTGCCACTTCGACCTGTTCAGATCTATTGCGGCCTTCTTCTAATCGTTAGTTTACATTCTCCAATCTTATTCTTTTTACAAAGTCGAGCAACTTGGAGACTGAAACCTCCATATATCTCTTTGTCAATGGCTTAACATTGCCTAGTACAAGGAATCGCACATTTGCCAGGCTGTCTCACCGACATAAAATATGTTCTGTCGTTTCTTCTTCAGATTGACAGAACCTACACATGGCGTCGTCTGTCAATACCGCCAGCTCCAGATGCCTATTCGGCTTACACTGCCTTGTTAGTAGACCCCCAAAAGCTTTGACTGTATTTCTGTTTTTTCTTATTAGGTCAATATTCAACCAATAAAATTAATATCGTATCATGGTATCGTCGGATATCGAAGGCATGAAAATTCGTCTTAATATTAAAATAGCAGAAAACTTGTGTAGCATTAACAAATATGTATCATGTGCGTATACCTCATTAAATATAGGACGATAGGTCACATTTTTTAATGCAATTCTCACAACTAGAAAGAAACGTGTAAAATGCCAACATTAAAAAAATGTCAGTCTATGAAGATATTATATTTTAAAATTCACCAGTGAAAAAGCAAAATCTAATGTCTAATAAACAATAATGACAAATAAAAAAAATATCTTAAATTGATTTACAGCTTAGATATTTAACAGCGTTTTTATTAATGAAGCATTTCTATAAAATTCCATTAGAATTATTATTCTAATTAATAATTAATAAACATATTTATTATTTCAATTAAAAAAAAATAACAAATATTTATTTGAATTATTTAAAAAAAAAATAATTAAAACTATTAAATTTATTTAAATTCAATTAAAAAACAGAAATAACCAAGTTTACTTATTATTATTATTATTATTTTTATTTTTTTGTTCTTTGACATTGTAAACATTTATAAATGTTTATTATTTATGTATTATCTTTTGTTTGTTTGTTTGTGTACCTTGTTTTTTACTTTGTTTGTTAGTTTACCTTTGTCTACAAATTGAAAAATTTTTTGACAATAAAGGCATTTATTTATTTATTTATTTAGTTATCTTACTTATTAGTAAGATAAGTAAACTTGGTTATTTTTGTTTTTAATTGGTTTTTTAATTTAGTGAAAAATTTGTTATTTTTTTTTAATTGAAATAATAAATATGTACCTCTAGGATATAAAGGTGTTGTCCTGTAACCTGTAAAATGAAAATACTATGTTAAAGATTCATTCAGAACGTCGAAATTAGTGGAATAAATTAGTGGTTTCAATTAGCACAGAAGTTTGTTCCTCTTATTTGAAGCTAAATATTAGTCTTTCTCTATGGATATACAACTGACTACCCTAAGCTGTTGCTAGGATATTCTATTAATTTTAATTGCGTTTTTTAGATATTATGAATGATCGTAAACTAAAAATATAAAGTGTAATTGAAACCACTAATTTATTCCACTAATTGCGAGGTTCTGAATGAAGATTAAATATTCTGTTCTATAACCCGTGTTAATTTGACTGATTAACACACACACCATTTTGTGTGTTTCAGTATTTGTAACATATACAAGATACCAGAAATTAACATACCTGCCAGACCTGGCAAGCCAGCGGACGATGTACCTGACAAACCATTTATAAAATATTTAGTAAAAAACAATTAACATCAAAAAGTGTACTTACCGCCAAATCCACTAGCATGTATCGATTGTGGAGCTGTAATAACAAAAAAACATTGTACTATACCGGGTGCGTCTCAAATGTGGTTCACCCCCTATAACTTTTTTATTTTTTCAGATAAAAAAAAAACGAGATTTGATATGTCACTATATGACATAAATTAGGATTGATTGAAGTATTCAACATTGTTTTTGGTCACTTCCTGTTTCACCGGAAATGACAACAATTATTGATTTTTAAATGGCACCCCGCTATTTTTTCACTTAATTCGATAGAAAATGACGCTCTGAGTAGAATGACATATCATATGTCAACTTTTGACATTTTCTCATATGGTTTATTTGAAATTATAACATGCGGATCATAACGACAATTTGACTCCAAATACCAAGTGTGTGGTACCGAATGATTCGTAAAAAAATACTTTTTCCAAATATAGTAATGAGCCACCCTCATTCCATTTGAAAAAAAAATGAGATATTATTTAAAATACGATTTGGGCATCTTTTAACTGGACAAGATGAAGAGGACAAGACACGAAAAACACTAGATCAAACTTTTTCCAAGGCTCAGGGTCTATTTTTCATCAGGTCGGGCCCTAAGGCCCAAGCAAAAATTCGGGCCCTCTTTTCGAATAAAATTCAAAACTCAACCCTTCAGACCACCGGGCCCAAGGCCAGGACCTTATGGGTCTTATGGTAAAATCGGCCCTGCCAAGGCTCCATGATTAAAAATTAGTGTTTTTAACCATAGCGAAAGCCATGGCACTCTAGATTGAAATTTCAAATGCATTTTTAAAGCGAAAATGCTAAAAAAAAATGTGATGTCATTTTATTCAGAGTGACATTTTCTATCGAATAAAGTAAAAAATACCGGGGTATCATTTAAAAATCAAAAGTTGTAGTAAGTGACCAAAAACAATTGAATACGTCAATCAATCCTAATTTATGTCGTATACTTACATACGTAACCAAATCTCGTTTTTTATCTGAAAAAATAAAAAAGTTATAGGGGGTGAGCCACTTTTGAGACGCACCCGGTATAAGCAGTCTTAAATTTATCCAAAATTTAGTGTTTCTAAAATTTACAACAATACAGAATATAACATACCTGCAAATTGGTACATGGGCATTCCCGAAAAACCTGTAACAAATAATTCATTAAATCTTTAATAAAATGAAGCAACTACAGCGAGAAACATTATACCAGAAGGTCCCAATGCGGCAAATCGACCTGTAATCCCTGATCGCGCTGTAATAAAAAAATAATACTGTACATTATTCGACGCCAAGATCCACCAGACGCAAACAAATGCATGAGGTATACACGTATAATATACAGGGCGGTCACAATGAAAGTAGTTATGTTTAGTGATTGTTAGGATTAGTGATTGAGACTACGAGACAGACACACATGCACAGTTCATACCAAATAAACTTTCAGTTTTAGTCACGTGAGTAAGCTTGACTGGCACAGCTTTGCCTACTTTTATATATTTTCTTTTAATCAAAATATTTTAGGAAACAAAAATAAATTTATTATAAATACAGGGTGGCGCACTTCATTCGCCTCGGTTGATTATACGAAAACGGAAAGATGTAGAAACAAAATATTTGATGGGTATATGCGGGGAGGCAATGTGCACAATTTAAAATTATTTTGAAATATACAGGGTATCTCAGAACTAAGATTCATACCAAAGTTATATTTTTTCTTATGGAACACCCGGTATTTTATTTCATTTTTGAATTCTTGGGCCTAAAAAAGGCATTTATTATAAGGGTTAAATATGTTTAAAATCATTGGTTTTTGAGATATTTAAAGATATTTAAATATGCATGTTAAAAGAGAATTGAGTATCAACACCCTATACATTACTTTTCAGAATTAATTCTTGTGCTGAGTTTAAAGGTAAAGAAATAAACTTTACTAAAAAATATTAGTGTTTCCTTAAATTTATACAGGGGTACCAAAAATTAGTGATCTGTTTTACGGATTTATTTTACATAAAAACTTTGTCATTTCAAATGCAACACCCTGTATTCTTTTAAATAAATCGAAGCAGATTCAAATGATCTTTTAAACTATATTAGGGTTTCCTATACCCATCTATCTCAGATTTTGAATAAAAAGCTATTTTTAAATAAAATGGCAATCAAGATGGCTGGTATCGCCATGGCAATTTTCTAGTGACAGTTAGTAACTATTTTCAAAATCGACATTAGTGTATGGACATTATTATTTAAACAGTTTACTAAAATTTACTCACAATAGTTTAATAAGTAAGTATTCTTTATTTTATGAAGAAAAAGCCATATCTGCTGGTGGAACGAATGGATATGTTACTAGTAATTTTGTTTTGTGAGGAAAATTATTTCTTGGCATCAAGAGTTAATGCTCAAAGATATCCAAATAGGAAACTTCCTGATAAGCTTTCCTTTGAAAAACTACTTGTCCTATTTCCTATTTCGCAGAATTGGTAGTGTAGTTTATAAAAAAATATTAGGCAGAAACCTGTCGTTGGAAGTGAAGAAATTGAATTTGCAGTAATTGGCTCTTTTATAAAAAAATCATATATCTACAAGTTATCGTAAAATAAAACAAAGAACTACTTCTTCGTTTTTCTTGATAGAATAATAAATACATATTAATAAATATTATTTATTAAACTATTGTAGGTCAATTAAATAAAAGTAAACTGGTATAGATTTAAATAAAGTCTATAAACTAATGTCGATTTTGAAAATAGTTACTAACTGTCACTATAAAATTGCCATGGCGATATCATCCATCTTGATTACAATTTTATTTAAAAATCGCTTTTTATTCAAAATCTGAGATAGATAGGTATAGAAAACCCTATTATAGTTTGAAAGAGATTTTGAATGTGCTTTGATTTATTTAAAAAAATACAGGGTGTTGTATTTGAAATAACAAAGTTTTTATGTAAAATAAATCCTTAAAATAAATAAGTAATTTTTGGTACCCCTGTATAAATTTGAGGAAGCAATAACATTTTTCAGTCTTTGCCTTTAAACTCAGCACAAGAATTAATTCTGAAAAGTAATGTACAGGGTATTGATAATAATCAATTCTCTTGTAGCGTGCATATTTAAATATCTTTAAATATCTCAAAAACCAATGATTTTAAACATATTTAACCCTTGTAATAAATGTTTTTTTTGGACCCAAAAATCCAAAAATTAAATAAAATACCGGGTGTTCCATAAGAAAAAATATAACTTTGGTATGGATTTTAGTTCTGAGACACCCTGTATATTTCAAAATAATTTTAAATTGTGCACAGTGACTCCCCACATATACCCATAAAATATTTTGTTTTTACATCTTTCCGTTTTCGTATAATCAACCGAGGCAAATGAGGTGCGCCACCCAAATATAGGCAGTTATTATTTACATCAACAAAACTCACCTACTTAACAGCACTTAGTGGAGACACAAAGGGCCATTACTACCGCGATGAGTATTTTACGGCTATTAAGCTATCTTGTACACTTCGCACTAAAAGAGGTTCTAAAAAGCACGAATGGCAATGTCAGGAAATAAATAAATAAATACGACAACTTGACATTTTTTTAAAGCAGAGCTACCACCTGAATCCCTAGCGCCAAATTTAACTTCCAGATAGTCAGCCCGGCGCGGAATATATCCATGGTTGGCAACAATGAATTTAAAAATCGCGCCCTCGATTGCGTAACTAAAAGTTTAATTGATATCAAATATATTAATATTATTTTTATGATTAGTTTGCAACTGAAATACCATGACCATGCATTAGATAGAAATGAAAAAATATATAGAGTTATTTTTTAATAAAGGGTTACAATATTGTTAATATAATATTTAAAGTATAATAGTTATTAGAACTAAGCCCAAACAGATTAGAACTGCGTAAAAAGTAAGTATTTACCAGAATATAAAGAAGAAACGGGATATGAATTTGGACTACCAGCTTTCAAAGCTACGCCACTTTTGGGTAAGTTCACTGAAAATATATATAAGTCTGTTTTGTAAGTATTGTATTCTTAAGATTTTATTATGTAGATATAATAAGAATATAAACATAAATTTTCAACAAAGTTTGTTAATTAAATCAACCTAAAACTATTTTTTACCAGTTTAAACAGACTCCTAAAAAGTATGACCTCACTTATGAACATTTACGTGGGATAAGCAACAGAGGGTCACTATAGAATAATATTCTGAGTGATTTTAGAGTAAGAGAGAGTTACAGATCCCACAGTTATCTCGGCAAAATAAAATTGACCGGCTAAATTGATGCCTTCAACATCAAAACTGGACAACTGAGAATTGACAAAATGTTCTTTTTTCGGATGAGACCAGAATTGGCCTAAGATCAGATAACCATCGAATTCGGGTTCTCAGAGCTCCAGGAAGTCGAGCGAGGTCGGAGCTATGTTGATTTGGTACTAGAATCAATCGTTAGTCTTTGGAGAGCTGCAATTGGGGATAATTTTAACTTCTTGTACGATAGTGCACCTCCCCATACCAACAGAGTGACTAGAGAATGTCTTGAAACGGAAGGTGTGTGAAATGGATAGTTTTGGACTGGCCTGCATGTTCACCAGATCTAAACCCTATTGAACACTAGCTCAAAAGAAGGGTTAGAGCTCGTCAAAACAATCCAGGAAATCTTGCATAGCTTATTGATGCAGCATTAGCAGAATGGGAAAAAATACCCCTAGACAACATTGATAATTTAATAAGAAGTATGCCAGCGCGGATAGAAGCTTGCATAAGGGCTAGAGGTGGCAACAAGGAATATTAAAATTATCAATTTTCTTTTTGTTTTTGCTTTTTCGCCATTAAAAATTTAAATCTTAATTTCGTTTTAGAAAACAAAAAAATACCATTTTGTTTCTTTTGGCAACTGATTATTTTTTTATTGCTATATGGATTATTTTTCATTAAAAGTAGGTAGTAATGACTGAGTTTTATTCATAAACACAACATTTTCATACGTCTCAAAAATTAAGAAAATTAATAGATGATTCCGTATAAGTTTGGTTGTGGTATATTGATATATAATTGAAATAAAATAAAAAATATGTAGGTACATAGATATCATATAAGTTCATAAATGGCAAAATAAAATAATTAATAAAAGTAGCAATAAAAATATGCTACAACACCGGATTTTTTAAATAATCACTTTTCAATCAGCATGTAATTATTTAAAATAACCTATAAACTTAAGAAAACCTAGTTGCACAGCTTATTCACTAGCCAGCTGGCCATTTTCGCTAGTTTTTGCAACAACAATACAAGATCAACGAGTATCCAGGTAGGTACATGTAAATGAAAGTCGACTGGCTGTCTAATGAATAGGCTGTGACACAATGAACCAATTTTTATTTTTTTCTATAGCTGTGGAATTTTTAAAGCTTACTTGAATATGGATATCTAGAGGTGTCTTTTGCAGCATCTTCGGTGTTAACTGCAGAAGTTTCGTTGGGTTTAACAACCACTAAAGACGTCACGTCAGTCACGAATGAATATTTTAGAGCTAATCTGCAAAAAAGAAAACTCTTTTATAGAGGTTTTAAAAAGTTATTGTACCAAACTTCGACAAAAAAGTGTTTATGAACTTATGCTTTAAGATGCTTTCTGATAAAGTTGGGATGTCCATTACTTTTGTGAGGGGGGCAGAGGAGCGAGGGGGTCAAGATGCGCCTCCCTAAAGGGTGTCCCAGGCTGAGCGTGCATTAACATTTTCTCGAGAACTACACCATCTAAATCGGAGATTTTTTGCACATCATTGTTGTACAACGAGATCTATTGATTAAAGATATTTTAATGTGGCGGCACTTCCGGAATTATCGGAAGTTGACAACAACTTTCTTAATTTAAATGGGTGCTTCCATTTTTATTACATACTTAAACTCTCTGTAATTTTTTTATGAATTTTGATATTAAACACTCTATACCTAACATTAACAGTTTTTGAGAGAAAAAAAATATTTAAAATTTTTGGACGAAAAAACTGTATATCGAAAAAAATTGTATAGCTTAAACGTCAAATTTTTTGATTGTCACAGCCACTATGACATAAAGAGAAGACATGTGGCTACCTACTTCAAAAATTAAATTGTTCGAATGCCATATAATAATGGCGGTAGCTGTCATGGAATTGAGCGATTAAAAATTATTATAAATATTTTTTTCTCAAACGGAAATCCACTTTTTTATTTCACTAGTGAAAAGGTTTTTAAATTCGTTACTTTTTGCCTATACATATTCCTATACCTAAAATAAATCGTTTTTAAGTTATTTAAGATTTAATTTTAAAACGTATATTTTCCTTAATTTTATCTAGCTTCCTTCGACATTAAGTGTCAAACAATCAGACAATTTATTTCTGTGTTCTTATATCTGTCAGGAAACTAACTATTTAAATTTTCTATATTATAAATACTACCTGCTTAAGAGTTTAAAAAGTGTATTGATAAAAATATATGTCGTGATATCTAATAGTTGATATTATATTATTAATATCCAGTATGATCGAAAAAAAAACGGCGCAAACTTGGCTTGAAAATAGTGATTGATGTGAAAAAATATCACAATATGACATGGCTAGATCTATTGTTTTACACTCTCAGTTTTACATTTTTTTTACTAGTCAAATAAAAAAAGTGGGTTTCAATTTGAAAAAAAAAATTTATGATAATTTTTTAATCGCTCAATTGGCCATGACAGCTACCGATAGCAACAATGATAGCTATACTCTGTTTTTTTTCTCAGGTAAGATTTCGATAGACGATGACAGAAGAAAAGCAGATGACGTCCCATACCAATCTATTTATTTTACTAAAAAAAGTTTCTAATAATTTTTAAGTTATCTATGGATGGGTTTAAATATAAATCCGTCATGCGTCGTGTCTTGTTGTTTTTAACCAGTTTTATTGGTTTATTTAAAAAAGGACAGATCGTATTTCAATTTTATTGGTTTGACGGAACGATGAACGACAAACGGACGCCGATGCGTATGAACTCGCCTTTAGATTTTTGTCATTTTTGACGCTTGTCAAAGTCTTGCCAAATTATAGGTTATAATTTTGTGTCAACTTTTGTTAAATACCCTGCGTTTTTGAAGATGATGCATTTTGATTCGTATTATTACGTGTGTTTTGTGTCTTTTGAAGTCAAGTGGAGGAAAAATCGAGTGAAAATTAACTGTAGACCCAGAGCACAGTTTATGGTTAATACTCGCTGCCCAGGCAGAAAGTCTTATACACCAATGAAGTTGCCATCGATAAAGTTTGTACACCATTTCGTCGTAGATAAGTGCATCTCGTATATGGTAGAAGGATCAAACTAAACACATACTAAAAACTGGAGTAGCTGTAAAATATCGACATCACACGATAGGTAAATAATGGATTTTAGTACTGCAGAAAAATAATGTCAAAAGGTACTGGTTTAAAAAAATTATGATTAAAGTTAATTAATCAACCTTTAAGGTATAAAATTTGGTAGGTGTTATTATTAATAAAATAGTTTGTTTTATTTACCTATGTTGTTTTATTTATTCCTGTGGAATATTACAAATTTGTATTTGTACATAAGTTATATTGATAAATATAATCATAAATGCGGGTAGTTTCATAAAGCTTGAAAGTAATAATAGTTCTTTTTTATATTTTTTTGGTATGTAGTGTCTTGTTCTTGTTTGTTTTGTATTAACACATACCGTTTTTATTAAATAAAATAACTCGATTACATTTTTTCAGTTTTATACAGTTTTTTTCACAATATTTTGAAATAATCACTTGTCATCTTGTCAATCAAATTTTAAATATATCCTGCTATGCGTTCCAGTTGTACCAACTTATTTCTTTGTAAAATAAAATAAGCTACTTTGAAATTAAAATGACAGACACATATATCACTGTCAAGGATCTTCTCGTTGGACAGACTATACCGACATTATTATATCACATTCGAAAAATTTAATTTTGGAAGTAGATAGCTACATGTCTTCTCTTTATGTCATAGTGGCTGTGGTAATCAATAAATTTGACCTTTAGGCTATACAATCTTTTTTGACAGGCAGTTTTTTTCGTCTAAAAATTTTAAATATTTTTTTTCGATAACGGTTAATGTTAGGTATAAAGTCTAATCAAAATTGATACAATTTTTCAGAGAATTTAAGTAGGTATGTAATAAAAAATACCCAAACCAAACCCATTTAAAATAAGAAAGTTGTCATAAGAGCTGTCAACTTCCGGTATTTCCGGAAGTTCCGCCATATTGAAAATATATTTAATCGATAGATCTCGTTGTGAAACAATGATGTGCAAAACATTTCCGATCTAGATATTGTAGTTCTCTAGAAACTTCTAATGCACGCTCAGCCTGGGACACTCTGTATATTAAAATCCATGAATTTAGATGTAAAGTTAGTTAGTATTGATATACCGAAAATTTGGTCCCCGGTTTGTTGGTTGGACTGAATTAGTACTGAATTGGAATGAATGTTCCCTATTAATGTTAGTAGTTCCTATTTAAGTATTATTTACTGCATATCTGGCTGATAACGATCTAAATAATCTCAAATACAAGTCTACTAGTTTTCATAATAATAATAAAGCAAATTGTGTTTTTTTTTAATAAATTCAACGCATTTATACTCAAAATACAAATTTTGAAAGATTAGGGGCGGAGTCAAAACAAATCTCACATCTCACCAGCGGGGGATGGGGGTCAAAAAATCCGAAAAAAACGCTTCATATAATTAACGGAAGCCCCCTCACAGGGTTGATTATATATTCTACGTACTTCAATACAGCTTGGGTGGCTGGTTCCTTATCCTTATCAACTTCGCGTTGCTGTAACAGTTGTCTTACTGTCATGTAAGCCCATAGTCGTTCTAAATTTCCAGTTGCTTGATAGACTTTCGGTTTAAGAATAATTGGCCCATTAATGCCCCAGGCTTCAACGCCAGGTGGTAGAAAATCAGAACCATCTAAAAATAACCATAATAAATAACCTAAGAACCATAATAAATAAACTAAAATGTTTAAATGTAAAAAAACGCAACGGAAAAAAAATCATCAAATTTAAACTAAATATAAATATATCAACATTAATTCATAAACTCAGTTTTTTGTATAAATTTTAGTACTTAACTTATTATGCAGGGTTAATCGAAGGGTTGTTTTTTACCTTAAAGCTTCATTCAGAACCTTGCAATTAGTAGAATAAATTAGGGTTTCAAATAGCATAGAACTGTGTTCCTTTAATTTCAATGTAAGCATTCAGAACGCTAAAATTAGTGGTAGACCGTTTCAATTAGTAGAAAAAGTTATCAAACTTTTGACTTTTCCACTAATTATACTTCAAAATTTGCTAGAAATGTCATTTTGGCCTTCGATTATCTTCCGTCAAGAGAAATCGAAGGGGTGGCTGCAATAACCACAGGCAGCTCCATTTTAATAAATTTGTAGGAAATCGAAAAAAAGCTGCTCGGTTCTTGCTGCAAACCCAGAGCAAGCTCTAACTAACGTCGCCATTTATCGTCATTATTTATATTGGGAGAACTGATTGTTGCAGAAAACGATCGGCCAATTTTTTAAAGGGTAATTCATTAAAAATCTAGTTTTCGAAAAATAGTGGAGCTGCCTGGTTGTGGTTAAAAATCAAAAGTTGCTTGTTTTATAAGCTAAATATTAGATATTAGGCTTTCTCTATGGATACAACTGACCAACGCAAGCTGTTTCTAGGATATTCTATTAATTTTAATTGTGTTTTTTAAATATTATGGAATGATCCTAAACTAAAAAGCTTATTCATTAACTTATTCCACTAATTGCGAGGTTCTGAATGAAGCTTAACTTTAAAACGCCCTGTGCACTAATTTCGTGAGCAAATTTTCATAAAACATTATTTTTCGGTCACAACCCAGGTGTTTCCTGAACATTTTGTTTTTTGAATCATGTCAGTACGTGCCTTGGTTACAAGTTTGTGACACGTTCATTTCGCTCTTAAAAATTAACCAAGGTATGTATTGACATTATCCAAAAAATAAAACGCTCAGGAGACATGGTTTTGACCTTGTTTTGACCGAACAAAAATGTTTTAGAAAAAATTGCTGACGAAATTATTGCACAGGGTGTTTTAAAGTTAGAGTCAAAAACAACAATTCAATAAACCCTGTATAATAAAGCCCAATACTTAAGAGTCCATTTCACTAGTCCGAAAAAATAGCAAAATAAGCGTTCGGCATTTACCGTTTGATGTAAAACTGACTAGGTATTTTTACACAAATGAAGAGGGAAATTAAAGATAAAGGATTATAATATATATCCGTACCTAACTACACATTTTTAGACAATTTCTTTATTTTTAAGATTTTGATGGTCAAACATCAACAAAATATTTTCTTTACATCAACATATACCAGTTTGCCAAAAAAAAATAAAAAATTGGGCTAAAAATAAAAAAATATAATACTTTAAATTTGAGGAAAAAAATTTCCGTTGCATTTTTTTGCATCTGAGTGTATATTGATTTTAAATTAAAGCAATGATAAATAGTTAGTACATACCATAAATTCCAGTGGTATACAATTCACTCCCAGCAAAGAAAATTGGGAATTTCTGTTTAGATATATTATATACGTTATTGTTGTCCACATACTTAAAGGTGACGTTAGTTAATAATGGAGAAGATATTTGTTTGTAAAAGTTTTCCAGCTGCAAGTTGGCATCGGCAGCTTCGTAAATGTGTCTTGCGAAACCTTCATTTTTCAGAGATAGTTTCTGTAAAAATGCCCTGTCTGCTCCGTCTCCAAATGAGAGAGAGAATATTGGAACTTGCCCTGAATTGAGTTCGGTTATCTAAAAAAATACATAATATTGGACAAGTACCACATTTTCGATATTTAGGAAGCTGGCTAAATAGTGAAAATACATGTGACGAAGAAGTAAAGGCAAGAATTGAAATGGCACGTAGAACATTTAAAAAATGGAATACCGCGCTCACTAATAGAAACCTGTCACTGCCAACCCGATTACGAACACTACGTTGTTACATATGGTCAACTCTTCTTTACGGATGCGAGACATGGACGCTAAAGTCGAGAATATAAATAAAATAGAAGCCTTTGAAACGTGGTGCTACTGGAGAATCCTTAAGATTTCTTGGACCGAACATACAAGCAACGAAGAAGTTCTTGAACAGCTAAATAAAGATCGGGAACTCTTAACCACCATCAAGGCCAGAAAGGTTAGCTACTTCGGACACATAATGTGTGGCACCAAATATTATATTCCTCGTTTGAGCATTCAAGAAAAAGTCGAAGGTAGAAGATAGGTAGGTCGAAAGAAACTGTCATGGCTGAGAAATAGACGGAACTGGACCGGTCTGGGTGTGGAGAGGCTGTTTCATGCTGCAGAAGATGGAGAACTCTTCAACGAAATAGTCATGGAGATAGCCAACGCCTGAAGCACCGGCACCGCAAGAAGAGAAAATCTAAAAAAATACATTTTTTTGCATATTTAAAATATTTATTTTGTTTACTTAAAATCATTTTGCACAATCAAAATATTACATATATATCTTTAAATGTTCGAATTAATAATATTAAGAATATTATTTAATTAAAATAAATAATAATTTTTTTAATATGGGCGTTTGTCGCAAATCTAAGATTTGTCAGCATTTATGGAACACAGGGTACAGAGTAGATTTTAAATGCAAAAATGATAAAGAAAGAACTGATAGTCTCTAAACGAAAATTAAAAGAGGCTTTTTAATCCATTCTAATATAAATAAATGTACTACTCAGGCATCTGTAGAATGTATGGCTATCGCTTCTTTAATTTTAATAAACATACCACAAATCAACAGATGGTTTAAGTTTTTTTGGTTTTAACAGAACGCCAACAGTTTATAACAGACGTATCTGCTAAAACTAAAGTGTTTTTGAATACTTGTATTTAGATATTTTAAATAGTTCTTCTTTGGTACCTCTGTGATTTTTGTTTTTTTTTTGCTGACAGTAGTAGGAACAGAAGTAGGAACGACTTTGTACAGGTTCGGCAATAGTGCGTCGGGCATCTGTAGCTTCTATAATAAAAAAAAATATTACACTATTGCCAGACCTGAATGAAATCGTTCCTACTACTGTTTGAAGTAGGCAAAGGACTACGACAGGGAGATGCGATATCCCCAAAGCTGTTTACAGCAACACTATAACAAATCTTCCGTCAACTAGACTGGACCAACAAAGGATTAAAAGTAGATGGAGCCAATATCTAAGCCATCTAAGATTCGCTTATGACATAGTCCTAATTGCCAATAGTTCTGTGTTCTCTGAAGAACTACAAGCACAAATTAACGAACTAAATACAGCCAGCAATGAAGTAAGTAAATTTTGCAAAATCTGAGCAAAACCTAAAGTAATGTACAACGAACTAGCAGACAGAAAAGACATTCTAATAAATAACATTAGAAATATGTAGTAGACAAAAAAAATACATCTATATTTGGGACAACTAATATCTAATATTATCTATCGGGATCTCTACTACCAGAAATCAACAGAAGAATTAAATTAGCCTGGAGTATTTATGGAATCAATAATATTCAAACTTAGAATGCCACTTTATCTAAAAAAGAAAACATTTGACCAATGTGTACTACCAGTCATGACCCATGAATGCAAAATTTGGACACTTAAAACGAACATTATAAGGAAACTGTAGGTCGCACAGGTCAATAGCACGAAATATGCTGAGAATAAACAAGAAAGACCATAAAAGAATAGAATGGATATGATAAAAGATCCAGGTAATAGATGTCATCCATAGAATCAAATCCCGTAAGTGGCACAGGGCAGGAAACCTGGCAAAAGGACGGACAACTGATGGACAACAAAAATTACAGCATGGTACCCACGAGGAATTAAGAGACCTAGAAGGAGACCAAACTTGTGATAGAACCATGATACTATAAAATTAGCAGGCATAATTTGGGCCCGCATAGCCACCAGTAGACAACAATGGGTCCAATTATAAAGAGCATATTTAAATATGTGAGGGAGGCTACACCATAAGTGGAAATAGTTGAATAAGCTGAAAATGATAATGATAATGGTACCTCAAGATCAAATTTAAAAAACTTATTTTTTAGAAGACTTTAGACTTATTTAAAAAAAAACTTATATTTTAATTTAAATATTTTGAAATTCTATCAAATATAAGTACTTACTGTAGAAATAATTTTCTCAGTTGAAACCTCTCCAACTGTCGGTTCACCATCAGTAAGGAACACTATGATTGGATGGTTTTGTTGTGGGTTCTTATTGGTACCCACTACCTTCAAGCCGACTTTCAAAGCTGTCAGAATATCGGTACCACCGAAGGCATCAAGTTTGTTGACTACTTCTGTGGCCTTTTTAATATTTTCAGGAGATGCTACCACTGATTCGGGAAGAATGTCCAGCTAGAAAAAAGTTTTTGTTTTATTAAATATTCAGTTTTTTATTTATAATATAGGTTATATAAATAGGAGTTAAACAGTTGAGTCCCAAAGCTGTTTTTACAGTAACACTAGAAGAAATCTTTCCTCAACTGGACTGGACCAACAATGAATTAAAAATAGATGGGAAATATCTTAACCATCTAAGATTCGCTGGATGACATACCTAGTCCTAATTGCCAATAGTCCTGAAGAACTACAAGCACAAATTAACGAACTAAATACAGCCAGCAATAAAGTAGGACTCAAAATGAATTTAGTAAAAACTAAAGTAATGTACAACAAACTAGTACGAGTAGACAAAAAAGACATTCTAATAAATAACACACCACTGAAAGAGAAGTAAGAAGAATATATTTGTATTTTTTTTTATAAGATATGGTATATTTGGGACAACTAACACACATCTCGGGACCTCTGCTACTAGAAATAAACCGAAGAATTAAGTTAACATGGAGTACTTATGGAAGAAATTCAATTATATTCAAATCTAGAATGCCGCTTGAGATGAACCGCCTATATTTAAAAATAGACATATTTCTTTATATTCAAAACATTCAGTTTTTAAGACACTCTGTATACATAAATAAAATTAAATGAACAAAAATACGAGTAGCGGAAAAAGGGGCCAAAAAACAGAAATGTCTAGCCCTAGCAGTCAACTTTTAAGCTTGACCAATCGGGTTGGTTAGCGTGGTTATTTGAAGGGTGTTAATTCATTTGTGTTTGTCAAAAACTCTAACGTGATTGGTCGGGCTTAATAGTTGCTTGCTAGGGCTAGACACAAGTGAAATAGTGTCTAGCGCCAGCAGGCAACTATTAAGCTTGACCAATGAGGTTGGTTAGCGTGGTTATTTGGAGGGTGTTAATTCATTGGTTTTTGTCAAAAACTCTAACATGATTGGCCGGGCTTAATAGTTGCCTGCTGGGGCTCGACACAAGTGGGAAGTCAGGCGACGAACAGAGATAATAGTTGTTAAATAATAGCTTAGAGACTACGATTCGAGACGCATTGATGTTACTTTTGGTTGTAGTATTTGAGTTTTGTAACAATGTTATTAAAGATAAAGTAAATGTTTTCTCATTATTTAACTAATGTTAACTAGAGCATATATTTCATTTTTTCTGTTGCAATTATTATTTTATTCTGTATTGAAGCTTTTTTTTATTTTATTCTGTATTTAAGCTTTTCCTTATTTATTTCATCTGAGAATATATAAATAAAGCATGTGTATGCATTTAATGGACTCTATTTATGCTGTAAATAATTTCAGTTTAAAAGTAATCTATATACAATCATTTTCTGTCCAGTCGTGCCGATGTTTTTGGTTTAGTGTGACAATAAGGGCCTTGTTGAATGTACTAATATTTTTTGACCGTGACTGGGCGAATATCTTAGCTCGCAGAGGGCAACTAAAAACAATACATGTAATATAAAGATATGTGCACCAAACATCTAACTTTAGCTTCGAGATCTGAAACCAGGGCCTTAGTACCTGCGGGCGGTAACCTGTTAGCTAACCAAAAACTCTTCAGTTTTGAATGATATAAATGTGGCATGTTTTGAATGTATGAAACTACAAACCTTGGTATGAGGACCCAGTTTTTATATTATTATTATTTCTCTTTTATTAAAGTTCAGGACAGCATAGTTAGATTCTCTGGAATAGGTTTTCTCTGCCGTGCTCCATTCATTTCATTTAATAAAATAAGTAAGGCTATTTAAATATTTAGCGTTTCATTTACATGACCTATTCTCCTCCAATTTCCCAAAATATTGCTTCTGTCGAAGCGCATCCGAGGTAATCACAATAGAAAAAATATTTAACACAACGTAGGTTCTTTTCTTTCATTTAAATTTCTTGTTATACAGTTGGTCAAAATATTACCTCTTCAACTTGATTGACAAACTTGGGTTGTTAGGTGTTCTTCAAATCGTAAAAGATAAGAGTGGGTACGACAAAAGACCTAGGTAATCGATGTCATCCACAGAATCAAATCCCACAAGTGGCAATGGGCAGGACACCTGATAAAAAGGACGGACAACAGATGGATCACAAAAATTACAGCATGATTTGGAATGCAGCCATAAGTGGAACACCGTTGCCGTTCGCGAGCCGCTTGGTTCGCCGATTATTTCCGGGCATTGACCAGCGAATACTCGTTTTTTGCTAACATTACAAATCTCGGCTCAAGTCAATATCCTCCTTTAGACTTGATTTAGTGATTTTGAAGATGCAGTAATCTAATTCTACTTACTTTTATCCCTTACCTTTTCGACTGGAGGTTTATTATAACCACCCCAAAAGGGAGATTCGCCTTCCTTGTAGGTCACTCGCTCTGTCTCAATATTCCATACTTTAATTTCTGAACTAAACTCAACAATGCTCAAGGTGTCTTCCGGGTGAAGTTCTCCCAAGATACTTTTCATTGCGTCCTTTAATTGAGATATTCTTGTGCCTATATTATTAAAATGAAAAATAATTGGATTGAAGAAAATTTCTTTATTATATTAATTTTGAGTGTATTATTGTACCTGACATGCTACCGCTGGTGTCCAAAACAAATATGATTTGTTTTTTGATTGGCGTCAACTCTTCAGGAGCGAAAAAGTGCACAAAATATCCTCCATCGACCAAAACCTAATTTTTCATTTAAGATATCAGAAGATTTTAATGTACAGGATGTCCCATTTTTGTGTGTTTTTCATGGTTTCTCGTTTATGAGTAGAACTACAAAGTTGCGGTTGTCATATCTTTCTATCTCTACTCATAAATGAGGAACCCCATAAAACAAAGGAAAATGGGATAAAATGGACACAATTATTGGATGAAATAGTGTAGCAAATACTGTATGATCGAAAAAAACGGCGTTAAAGACGGCTGCGGAATGGCAATCGATAATAATTTTGGCGAAATGCTAAATAATGATGCTAATGCGATTTAGTAAATGACGTCTGGAGATCGCTTGGAAAAATTGACATAAAATTTGTCAAAAATGAACGCTAATTACAGAAAGATTAAAATAAGATTGGAAGTTTCCAGGCACACAAATCAATATCCAAAAAAATATGTTTTCTCGAGTTTTAAACTACACCATTTAAAAATCATTTTTACTCAATATAAAAAAATTACAGCCTTCTTAAGGCCAGCTGGTAGTAAGCCCCATTAGAAAATAAAGAAGAGTATAGGCCAAATAGGGTGCCAAGCCACAGCAATGTGGTGGGCAACCAGGAAGTGGACACACTCGCCATAGATGTGGCCAGGAGAGAAACCATGGCAGACGACCCAACACTTGCGACAATCAACACACTGAAGGAAGCTATAGGAACTATCATCAAGGCTAAGCAGCAAGAGACGTGGCAACACCGTCAGGACTGCGGTACAAAGACTGCGCTCGAAGACTGTGGCTAGTGGTAGATAGCAAAAAGACAAAACAACTACTAGAGCACAAAAAAACCTAGTACGCACAATTGTACTAAACAAACCTAGTACGTCACTGTAAATTGCTCCACGGGAGTAAACCTCGTGAGATGGAAGATTTTCAACAACGGCTCCTGCAGAGAATGCGGAGAGGAAGACGAAACCATACAGCGCCTGCTCTGCTGCTGTGCCACTGTCCGACACTGGAAAACCACGCTTTAAAACTTTAGTTTACGGTTTTTTGGAGGGAAATAGAGGAAGCAACAGAAGCCAACATCAGCGACATCGGGAACTTTGCAAAGAGCTGGAAGTGCTTTAACGCAAATAAAGAATGAGAGGAAGGTTTGGTATACAATAATACAGGAGTATCGCAATGGGTCCAAAGCCTACGAAACCCCATCAACCTCACCTAACCGTGGGCCAAGTAATGATGTCTAGGGCTTGACCTCGCCAAAATTATCACCGATTTTCATTCCCTAGCCGTCTATGACGCCGTTATTTTTCAGTCTTATGATATTTTGTCTTATTTTTATGTTACCTCTCCTCCTTGAGGATCCCTGACCACATCGTACTCCACAACAAACTGACCGCTAAGTCCATTCTTTTCTTCCCCACCCAGACCGCTGGCCAGTAGTTTTTGTTTGGCAATGTCCGGCTTGAAAGTGACCACGGCTGCAGTCTCGTTGACAGTTTTAATGTCAGCTTCCGGATCGATTTTGGAGTCGTTCTTGGAAATCTCGTTCCCGGATCGCAGAGACGGCACTTTTACGAATTTCAGCGGACGGGATTCAGCAATATTGACCTAAAAATATTAAATTTCTATGAATATTTCGAAAAAATACAAATTAAGGTTTCATTCTTCGGGTATAACATCATCCAAGTACACTGTCAACCGGGCTTATATTTCCATTAAACAGTTATGAAAAGAACGTGAATTCAGTTGAAAAGTCGAATTCAAATCGTGCTGATACTTACCACAACATCTAAGTCTTTAACAGGCTGTCCTGGTTGAATGTTAAGAACTAGCTCGTATTTGTTGCTAGTCCTCAGTAGAAGCTCTTCGTAGGTAAGATAAAATGTAGCTTTACTTTGTGGCTCCACATTTACAGATACCGTGAATCTGTTGGAATCTCTCGCGCTTACTGCTACATGAGCGGCACCAAATCCACTAGATACAGCCTAAAAATATTAGAAACTTAGTAAACTCTCGATTATTTTATTTAAAGTAACCAGATTTCAAGTAAACCAATAATGGCCTCTGGCTGAGGGGATTTTAACTTCCTTACCTCGTCGTAAGTCTTCTTGGCTTCCTCTTTCTCTTTTACATAGGCTTCGTATTTCTTTCCATCAATTTCCATGACAAATCCAGAAATAAAGGCTTTATCTGGCGTCACGATTGAGAACGTAGCCTCTTGTGATTTCGGACTTAAGTTCTTCACTTTACTGGTTATAAGTGTTTTAGCATAGCGATTTGATATGTTCGTGTCTACTCTCATCTGGTATATCTTAGGAAGCACAGGACCTTCATCCTTGAAGATATAAAAACATTTTTGAATATTTTAGACAATGATTAAGTATTGAAAATAAAAGAATTTCGGATTTTCATTGGTTTTTACTTTTTTTTCAACTTAAACAACATTTTGTTTAGATTTATCAAGTGTAAACTAATCTAAATTCTGAAACTACTGAGCTTAATGTACTAAGACAAAGCATTCACTCGTAAAAATATTAGGTGCAGTCTCATACTTGAATGCTTTGATGCGTTTTAAAATTTCTTTATAATTTGGAATGAAACCGATAGGACAGATTGGACTCTATTCTCACCACCTCAATTCACAAAACCCCGTCAAAATGGTTTAGGGGACAAAGATGAAGTTGTTGAAACTCTGTTGAGAGCCATAGGCAAGTGGCAGCCGTCACTAAACTCAGCTCGAAGTACCATTGGTCGTTTATAGCAACGTTTAGGGAGACCGGTGAAGTGTGTGAATGACATCTTGCGCATTTCCAACAGTAGTACAACTGAGCTTGTACATGACAGATTCATCCGGATTGAAGCACTTCGGAACTCAAAACTTACAGCTACTCAAATCAGAAATCAGCTGCAAAATTTTCACAAAGTAAATGTCAGTGCCCAAACTATTCGGAACAGATTGCATAAAGATAGACTGCGTGCTCGCCGTCCCGTTAGAGTTTCTGTGTTGACAAGTGGAAATGGCGGAAGATGTTATAATAAGCCAAAGATAATGTTAATTGGGAAGAACAAGGCTGGGCTCGTGTAACCTTCACTGATGAATCCAGGTTTGGTTTGAGACCACATTCCAGAAGAACAAGGGTATGGAGAAGGCCAGAAAACACTGCTCGTCTGAAAAGTATCTATGAGGTGGATCGGTACCAGGGCAAAACAATTATGGTTTGAGCCTGGAGTGGGTATTGGCCGACGGTCTTATTTCTTTTTGACGAGGGGTTTCTAACGGCTGTTGCTAGTTTTGCTAGTTTCTTTTAGTATCACAAAATATAAGTTTTAGTTAATATAATTATGTATGAACCATTTATTTCAAATGTTTGGATATAAAGAGAATTATATTCAAACAGATGATGCAGAAAGTGTTGCATAGGAAAAAAGAACCTTATGACAAATTACTCACATTATGAAGTAATTAAACTGTAAGAACTTCAAAAAATACTCTAATTATACCTTTTCATTTTCACCGCCCACTTCATTTTGAGCAGAGACAGCAGATTCTTGTGTTGATATAACTAAAGATGCCGGTTCTTCAGTGGTTGTTGATCTCGCAGACACGCTGCTTTGAACTGTTAAAAATAATATTAGCCCCAAGAGGGCATACTTCTTCTTCATATTTCTGAAATTAAAATTAAAGAGAAAATATTATAATCCTATTGTTAAATATATGATCACAGAAGACTCAGGTTGGGAAACTATGAGTATAACAGCGCGTTTAGACGAGTCAAGTCAACTGATCAAGTTGCTTGAATTCATTTCGCATGAATGTATTAGGGTACGTCCATAGTGCACTGGTTTCCCGGTTCTCGCTTTACCGCGGAAGACTAACGGTGAAAAATAGAGGAACAACCCTAGATTATATATACTTACGTAATCTAATAAATCTTGCCTTTTCCGAGGACTTTACGCCATGCGCTTTAAAAGTTAGGTTTGGTTTCGTATTCCCAAAATAATCACAATTTTATACGGTTTAAAAATGATTCACAGTACACCGGACCGTGCCTGAGCCGGGCACGTTCCGTGAAGTTGACACCGAGCCACGTCCGATCCTTCTGTATATGCACACCGAGTTGATAACGGGGTTCGTATTAGTTCCGAGTATATTAGAAAACACTAGTAGTGGGAACTATCGAATGAATACTATCGAAACATTCGATAGTTGCAATTCATTCGAATAATCCGATAGCTAGTAAGAAAACATTCGTCGAAAACTATTCGAATAAAAATATCGAATAGATGCGTCATTTGCCTTGAAATATATTAATTCGGCAGCAAAAACCATTCATTTATAAAATTCATTCATTTGTAAAATTTATTTATTCGTCAGGATCGATTATAATAAAATATAAACTGGATTTTAGTTGTCGCCCGGCGACGTAGGTTTCTTTCCTAGAAACGCGACAGCGGTCGGTGGCAATGGTATGAAAAAAGCCGTCATCTTTGATTTTGAGTCAGATAAAGATAAGGACACATTATTTTTTTATTGAGGTGCTAGTATTTACACAGAAAATACATTATGAACGGCGCTGTTGCCGTATATTCGTATTAGTAGGTATTAGCAAAGAATATTCTGTGAACTGTGAACTGCAAAAACCATGCAAAAACCATCGTGGATCATGGTATAACGTCGGTTTCCAATGTTTCATAGGTATTTCATACATGCGTCATTATATAAAATAAAGTTTCTTGTATGCAACACACTGTATTTTATTTATAAAATTAAACGAAAATAATAATAAATTTGAATAAAAAATATTTGGCGATATAATTCCAGAAAAAGCCGAACCGCTCCGAAATATTCAAAAGTTTTGGGTCGCGACCGTTGCAAGAATAGCGCCAAATAGTGTTCACATTGTCCTTATGGGCACTTTCCAATCTAAACTTGTTTCATCTTTGGTTGTAATATAAAGGTCCTCGAATTATCTTTTCATAGGCAAGTAAAGTATTCAGTTCTTTTATTTATATTAAACCACATGCATACTTTCTGGTTAAATATCATGATTGATGATTTGATTGTACGGATTGATTGGTACGGAGTGGCTAACTGTATTTTTTATATAATTTAATTTTTGTGACAATAAACATTCAATTTATTGTTCAAATATATGCATTTTACAAATTAAAAAAAAATTAATACTCAAATTTGGCGCGTGGACGATAGGTCCTCGACAAAGATAGGTAGAGTAGAAGCACCGCGTGAGCAACAAAAGCAAGAAGATAAATGGAAGTCTTTGATATGTTTGCGACAGTTTCCATAGTGATTTACTTATCCACGTAAGTATATATGATCTGGGGGAACAACTGTATGGCGCGTGGCCATTAGCTGATTTTATCCGCTTCTACCGGAATGAATTATTGTTTCTTTTTGTGGCTTGCCCGCTTCATCCGCTCAACAGTTTTATCATCGCCACCCCTTTTGAAACCAATTCAACTCCCTTGCTTTAAGTCCAAACTTAATCTACCCTGCTCAGCTCATATTTAAACTTCCAATAAGGATTATGCTTTGGCATAATTCAAGCTATTAGCGGTTTTAAACTCTTATCAATTTTTTTTTATAAATATACTTCGAAGTTTATTTCTCCATGCGAAAATATTCCGAAAATTTTTGATGGCAAGCCAGCCCCGGATCTAAGGGGGGGGGGGGGGCAAACCGGGGCGACTGTGTCAGGGGGCTTTTGGTGCCCCCTGTATAATATAATATGGTGCCATAATATAATATGGTTAAAAATCAAAAAAATTGCTCCACAAAGCGCCTACTATGCACCTTACGTTCTTTTATCAAGTATTCATTTTTTAAAACGTCCAGTTAGTCTAAACTGTCCCGTTTACGAAAAATGCCTACCTATATTTCATATCAATTAAACTTTTAGTTACGTAATCGAGAGCGCGATTTTTAAATTCATTGTTGCCAACCATGGACATATTCGACGCCGTGCTGACTAACTGGAATTTAAATTTCGCGCTGGGAATTCAGGTGTGAGAGATTTATTTATTTATTTCCTGACATTGTCATTTGTTTTAACACTTTAGTTTTGTATTACGAGTTTTTCGTTTAAATAAATAGTGTTTTGATACTTTAAGCTCGGAAATGCTTACTAGCAGACCTTGCAGTCGTAACATTGTTCTTTTTAGAACCTCTTTTAGTGCGAAGTGTAGAAGTAGCTTAATAGCTGTAACAAACTCATCGCAAATTTATTAGAACATTTTGAATGGGAAAGCAGCTGTAATGGCCCTTTATGTCCCTTAAGTGCTGTTAAGAAGGTGAGTTCTGTTGATGTAAATAATAACCGTTTATATATTTATAATTAATTTATTTTTGTTACGTAAAATATTTTGATTAAAAGAAAATATATAAAAGTGGACAACGCTGTGCCAGTCAAGCTTAATCAGGTGACTAAAAGTTTATTTGATATGAACTGTATATCTAGATTTCTAGATATTTGTAAGTTTTTTAAATTAATTTATTTCAAACGCTGGAGAGAGGGGGGGCTACTATCAATTTTTTGCCCCGGTTCAAAAAAATTGTAGATCCGGAGCTGCTGGCAAGCTGTGCTGTGTGTAGACGTAACTTTATGACGGGAATACTCAGAACTAATTCCAATAAATTCACTTTCATAAATCACTTCATGCATTAAATTTATGCAGCTCCTATTGTTAAATATTATTATTAAGTTGTACTTGTATTTTTGTATTTGCCAAGGTTAATCATAAAAATATAAACGTTATTTTTAGATATAGACAACTATGAATGGAAACAATAATTATTCTTATGTATTAATGTGTTGTTATTTATAAAATCATTGCGTTTTTTAGAGGCTAAAAATAGATTTCCTGAAAAAAACCTGGGTATTTCCATCACTGAATGAATGAAAAATTTAAAAAATAAAATAAGTATTTTTTTAAACACCATTTCATTTTGAAGTCGTCAGAAGCAAAAAAAAAGAGACAAAAAAAGCTATTTAAAATGTTTAAAATAAATTTAACGAGACGTCTGTTAAAAACAGTTGACGTTCTTCTATTCCTTCCCTGTATTTTCTTTTTTACCGCAACTACCGCCGCCACTGCTAGCAAATTGTTTCTCAAATCCATCGTCAAAATGAAAGTGTGTGGAGGTTGCTTGCCCATGGTAAAAATACCAGCACGGTTTTAACTGCACGGTTAAAATCGAGCAAAATAACCGCAGTATATGGGGGTCTTTATACAATTTATGAGTATCTTATCCACTTCAGTAAGAACCTGGCTACAGTTTTAATAATATTAGGAGAAATATTAATGGCAAAGTACAATTGTTTAAATTAAAATTATGAAAAGACTATTACTACAAAATATAATTTTTTTAAATTAAAATATTATAAAATGTATTATTGCAAACAAGTGTTTTTTAAATTACATAGGAAAACTAAGTTAGATATAGGTACATAATGTTACAAAAAATTATAGATATTTACCTAGAACTTAAATATAAGATCAAAAATAGTATGTTATGTTTCAAACAATCTACTTATGTTACATTCCACACACTTTTTGAGTCACTCTGTATAAGTACTAAAAACAATTTTAAATTGTGCAGTTTGATCATTAAGTACATAATATAGAAGTATGAGAAAAAAATTCTTACAATATTCTATTTAACATTTTCATAACTAGTCAGATAATAAAATTTACTCTATCGTTTTGACCATAGTTCTGACCATGTATACAGGGTATTTCAAAACACATGTGCCATCCCTTGTAGGGAGATTCCTCACGTAAAAATAAGATTTTTTTTTATATCAACATTGGCTCGATTCTGCTTTGTTTCTTATTCCAGTGATGACCCATGCCATCTGCACGTCCCTGGTGAATATGTCGACACTTTTTTAGCTTTAAAATATGTCGCATTTATAGTAACTTTTACCCTTAAAATTTCATTCGAAACGCTAAAAGTACTTGGAAGAAAAGTATAATAAATCGAAAGATTATTAAAATTTTAACACCCTGTAGCTACGAACCAAAGCAGGATCGGACCTATGTTGATAGGAAAAATAAATCTTATTTTTACGTGAGGAATCTCCGAGAGATGGCACATGTTTTTTGAAATCACCCTGTATATTTTAACAATCAGCATAGTATCAAATAATCAACTAGGTAATTAGTCACTACTTTGAATAAAATCGAAACAGTGCTTAAAAACTTACCTAAATATATTACTTCTTCCTGTTAAGTTATTTCTGATATAAACTTTATAACATTTATGCTCAACTAAAGTAATTTTAAAATAATGTAGCATTTATATCGCAAAAGTAAGAAGATTAAGAATAATTGTTGAATTGTTTTCGGCGAAAATTATCTACATAACAAAATTACCAAAGGAATTTTCATAAACAAATACTATTAGTTCTCGGTATTTAAAATCAAGTTATTATTTTCTTCACTAGGCAATTCCATTTGGCAATTTTCTCGCATGCGACTCTCATTTTGCTTAGTATTATTACTTATTATTATTATTATATATAATAATTATTACTTAGAGTAATCACAAAACATTTTCCGATGCACGTCATCAATCATATCGACATTAACACTGAAGTCTATAAACTTGACTAAATGAAATTTTAGCAAAAATGTTTAAATTTGTTG